CACGCCGCGAAGTGGACGTGAGCGCTCGCTCCCTCGCCGAGCCAGCCCAGCCCGGCCTGCGCTGCTGCCAGTGCCGAAACCAAACGGTGGGCTTGGCCCTGGCGGCCTCTTTTGCCGCTCGGCGGACGGCCACGCGGCACGTACGATGGCGTCAACACTCTCTAGTTATCTACTTCCAGTTCCACGTTTAGGACGTTTTTTAGCCTGAACTTTCGTATTCTGATTAAATTTTGACAATACTAAAATTTTAATAATTTAATAATATTATCAAGTTTTGGCAGGATTTCTTATATATTTATCATAGTTTGATAAAATACTTTACGGATATACATATCTGATAGATTTATTAAAATTTGGTAACATGCACTTAGCCGTTCGAGGAGGGGACGGGCCTCGTGGCCTTCATCGGGCGTACGCAGCGCCCACACTGCTACGGATGGGACAAGTCACACAACTCATCTCATCCCTCACACGTATCTCCCGGCGAGCGAGCGCATTTCACCAGCAACAACCGGGGCCATTGTCCTTGACGACGCATATGCATCGCCGGTCGTACACAACAACAAAAGCAGACAAGGCACGGCACGGCACGCGGGAGGTTTTTCGCCTCTTGGCATCCGAGAGGCCGAGACAGATCTGATCGCGAAAAGAAAATTTTTATAGTGACTCATAACATGTTTGATCGGATATAGAAATGGATTTTAGACACGAATGAAAAAATTAATTTTATAAGTCGTCTGAAAACCGCGAGATGAATCTTTTGAGCCTAATTAATCTGTCATTAATAATTGTGGGTTACTATAGCACTTATGGTTAATCCTGAACTAATTAGACTCAAAAGATTCGTCTCGCAATTTTTCTACTAACTGTGTAATTAGTATTCTAAAATCTATATTTAATACTACATATATGTGCCAAGGATTCAATGTGATGTTTTTTGATAAAAAAATTTGAGAACTAAAACCAGGCCAGAAGCAACAAAATGGAACCCCCATCGTCGCCTAGAGCCCTAGAGCAAATATCGCCTCTGACTAACGTCGAACAAGAGACAAAAGGAGAGTGAACTTTGTAGGAGTACTTTTTTTTTTGTATTGTGCCATTTGAGACAACGTAAACGACAACAAACTTGCAAAGCCAGCAGTGAACCAGATGTTCCACTTCCATTTTGTTTTTATATATCGTCAAGTGTTACACTATTTTAACCCAACCCCCTGTACTACAGTTGTGCTAGCTTATACTATCTCCGTTTTTTAATAGATGACGTCGTTGACTTTTTATCACATATTTGACCATTCGTCTTATTCAAAAAATTTACGTAATTATATTTTTTTGTGAGTTGTTTTATCACTCAAAGTACTTTAAGCATGATTTATATCTATCCATTTACATAAAAAATTTTAAATAAGACGAATGGTCAAACATATGTTCAAAAGTCAACGGTGTCATCCATTAAAAAACTGAGGAGTACTACTATTCTTAGCGAACAAGATGGTCTCTACTTCCATGTCCAATTGGCTTGGAACTTGGAAGCTCCAAAAAATGATTGTAAACTTTTGTATCCCGTCCCAGATTGTCGCACACCACCCCCCACATGCCTTGTCCATATATTGCGCCTGCCTCGTCTCTTTGCACGCCTCGTTTCAATTCATTCCTTCACTCATTGGCAAATGGGAATCAGACGGATGAAGACATTTCGTTTTTGTCTCCAGCGCAAGCCTTGGCTCAACCGAACTCCGATCAAAAAACAAACGAAGATGATGTGGGGGTGGCTACTTGGCCACATAAATATATCTTGAGTTTTGATTGGAATGTATGACAAATTCCAAAGGATTGCGTTGTTCTGCACCAGCACCCACCTGTTCTACTAAAAGAATGCAATATACTGCATACCTTAAGCTTCAGTCCAAAGAATCTAAAACAGAAAGGGCTTTAGCAAATAATTATATTATCACCATTCTTTTAAGACTATCATATGATTCATCAAGAAAAAAAAAAGAAGAGACCATTACTGTCTATCATAACATTTGAGGCCCACCATAAAAGAGGTATCCATTATATTCTAAATTACTTGTTGTTTTTGCTTATTCTAAGTTAAATATTCGTAACTTTTACCTTCAATTCCAGAATTATATTTACGTTTCTAGATTCACCGTGAGAAATATTTTCGCAATACACAATTCACATGCTGTTTAATTATATGTATTTCTAGAAAATTAATTGATGTACAAAGTTAAAACGATTGTATGTAACAATTCCAGGAAGTATCATTTTTCTCCCGTTATGGCTTTGTTGCTGTTGGTTTGGAGTACAACTTAGTGACACGTAAAACAATGAGCTCATTATTGCATGAATAATTAAAGCCGAGTTGTTCTAAACTTTTTCTTTAAACTTCTAACTTTTCCATCACATCAAATCTTTTGTACACACATAAACTTTCAACTTTTCGGTCAAATCATTCTAATTTCAACAAAACTTTCAATTTTAGCGTGAACTAAATACACCCTAAGTTTACGCCGTGTTTAGTTTCAAAGTTTTTCTTCAAACTTCCAACTTTTCCATCACATCAAAGCTTTTCTACACACACAAACTTTCAACTTTTCCATCACATCGTTCTAATTTCAACCAAACTTCTAATTTTCGTGTGAACTGCACACAGCCTTAAAATGAGACGAAGGTAGCACTTCCTCTGTCCCAAAATATAAAGTCATTTTTTAGTTTGGCACGGGTATTAAGAAAGTAGGTGACAATGATTGGAGGAAGTGTGTGATTGGTTGAAAAGAGAAAGTATGTGAAGAAGAATGGTTGTGATTGGTTGAGAGGTGGAGGCAGGTGAAAAAATAGCTTTATTTTAGGACATGACACTGTGACAGAAATAGCTATATTTTAGGACGGAGGGAGTATGCCTTTAAGCATTTTTCCCTTGTTGTACCACCGGTACGCGTAATAGTTGCAGTCCTGCAGACGGTACCAGTGTCAACGAATTCCATCCCAAAAGTCCATCGTCCGTGCTTATTAATTTTTAAAATATGTTTGACCGTTCGTCTTATTAATTTTTTTTGAATATTATTTGAAAACTTGAGTAGTAGTAGTATACAGTGAATCAAATGATAGGAAAAACAATTAATAATTACTTAAATTTTTTTAAATAAGACAAACAGTCAAATATATTTTAAAAAGTCAACGACGTCAAATATTTAGAGACGGATGGAGTATTAGATTATAAAGCATGAATAGCACTTTTTGTGTGACTTATTTTTTTAGTTTTTTTTAAAAAATTAAATAAGATAAATAATCAAAGTTGATTATGAAAATTATGGTTATTTTTATTTTGGGACGGAGGGAGTATAAAAAAATTGATATGCTCCAAACGCGTAGGAAATTTTCGGCAGAACAAACTGAACCGGGAGAGATAGAGAGATCAGAGAAGAGATCGTCGTATGTGCCCGTGGGTTTGAGTGGGCACTGGGCAGAGTGGGCTCTCTGCTTCGCTGCCGCCTGCAAATTCCAAATCCTTGCGCCTTTTGATCATGGCACTTCGGCTTTGTGAGATAACGGAATCATGGCCCTGCAGGCTGCAGCCCTGCTCTCTTTCTTTCTTTCTTTCTTTCTTTTTTTTTTCTTTCTTTCAGTTCTTGCTTCTCCCGGTCCATGATTGCCGCGGGATAGCTTGCGTTGATCACACTTAATGATAGTATGATCGCTTCGCATAACCTAATTTCCATACTAAATTCTACTACTACTAGACTTTTCACAGGGATCATGAGCACAGAAGGTCACCGTAGTCACGCTAACAAGAGATTGACGAGATGATATTGATACCTGAATTTTTCTCGATACCGGACTGAATTCTCCCTCCGTTGCTAAGACATAATCAATTTTTTTCAACATTTCTTATAATATACGTACATACATGCATACATTAATTAACATCTCTTCCACGCCTAAATTTACTTTTTTCTAAATTCTCTACCATCAAACCCCCTAATACATTACGTGCACGCATCTATATAAATTTTTTTTTATTGGTCTTTGCATTAGTGAGGGTTGTGTGTATATTTAAGAATGAAAGGAGTACTAACATAAGGATAAACATTTTCATATTGTCCAAGGTAGCTAAGATTAAAGATGATGATAAAGTTTATTTTTCCAATCATCTCGTTGGTTAAATTTTGGATTATCTAGATTATCCTTGTAAGGTACTGGCACTACTCGTTAGCTGAAAATGCTTTTGTTCCTGTGACTCTAACCACCTACATTTAAATAAATGTCCCAAAAATATATGTACTCCCTTCGTTCCAAAATATAAGATGTAACTATTACGATGTTTCATGATACAAGTAATATATGCACGTATTCACAATTAACTAGTAGTATCTTCCTTTGTTTTTCAATCCTACATCCTCGAGATCTCTAATCTCTAATTTTATTGGATACATGAATTATATTTATTAAGTGTCCAAACAATAAGATGATAATAATTATTTTTATAGTTTTTTTTGTTAGTGTTGATCATGTTTTATATTTTGAAATGAAGGGAATATTATTATTTTCTTAAAATAAAATTTGGATACAACTATAGGTTGGGAATCTGCAGTTTTTTTTTACTATAGAGGAGAGATGCATTCTGATTTTTTTTAAATTTTTTTTGAAAGAACCCAACCTTGTGACAAATGCAGGGGAACCTCTGCTCTGACTGGTGAGCATCTCTGCCGCGCTCTGTCTCACCTGCTCCTTCAGTCAGCTCAGCTCTTCACTTCTGCTGCATTCACACCACCACACTCCACTCCAGTACTCCACCCCACCCCACCACGCTTCACTGACAGGAGCAGGCCGCCCATGGGCCCCACCACCTGACTCCCCCCCACCCATCTCCACATGGGCCCCACCCCGTGGACCCGGCCCACCGTGCACTCCTCCTTCCCCCTCCCCTCCCGCCGGCGCGAAAACCCTAACCAACACAACGAGACGACGAGAAAAAGAGAGTGTGAAGCGAAGCGAGCAAAGAAAGAAAGAGAAAAAAAAAAAATCCCCCCAAATCCCAAGGCCTCCCTCTCCTCTCTCTCTCTCGCTCTCCCCTCCCCGCGCGTCGCTTTCGCCGGACACCACCGCCCCCCGCCGCTTTCCCCTCCTCTCCTCTCCTCGCGTCGCCTCCTTCCTTCCCTTTTTGACCCCCCCAATTCCCAACTGGGAATCCCCCCTCGGACGGCGGCGGAAGCGGAAGCAGCAGAGGAGAGCATCTGGTTCCCCTGCGCTGCCCGCTTTTTGGTGGTGGTGGCGGCGGCCGGCGGCGGATCGCTGCCTCGCCGTGCCGGTAAGGTAAGTCCCTCTCTCGCCTCTGTGAGCTCCCGTTGCGGCGGTTTGGTTCGGCGCGCCCCTGGTCGGTGGTGGTGGGTTTGTTCGGCGGAGGAAGAGGAGGGGGGGGGGGGGATCCTGGGAGGCGGAATTCGGGGTGGGGGGTGGGATTGGATGCCGGAGCACGAGGTTGGAGTCTGTGCTTAGGTTAGCATGCGAGTTTAATCATTAATGAGCTTGGATGAATTTTCTAGCGTTTCTTTTTTTTTTTGGTGAGTTGATAAGGTATGGACTGGTGAAAAAAATGCGTTCTGGATGTGGCGGAAATGCCTTGGTTTATTTTGGGATCTCTTTATGTTTCTGTAGTTGTGTGATGGCCATGGGTTTATGATGATGGCTGTGTCAACTTGATTACTGGAAGGGTTGGTTTGATGTTTTGTATTGATCCTGATCCTGGTATCTGCGCCGGGTTTGTGGCCATGGTCCGGTCCAGTTTATGTCTCCAGTGATGTGTGCAGAATTCATTCTTATGTTTGTTGAAGAACGTATCAGTGATAATTGGTTGTGTAGTTTCGATGGATGTGTAGATGGTGCTTGCTCTTGGCTTCTTGGGTGGTCAATGATTTGTAGGCTTAACTGGAGAGTCTCTGACGATATCGTCTGTTTATTTTTGTAAATTCAGAGTTTTCTGCTTCCTGATAGTAGCAGATGCTTAACAGTTTTATTTGTTTGCCCTATCTCTGCTCATGGAAGGTGGAGTAGCTGGGTGTGTGTGTGTGTGTCTCTGCAGTCGTTGCTTGCAAAAACTATGTGTGCCTGCCATGTGGAATTAAGCTGACTTTGAGTTATTGTTTTGATACGGGTATGCAGCAATGGCCTTTAGAGTTGAACTGCTGGCATTAAGCGTGTTGTTTTGGATAGCACATAATGATCCTTCGGTTATATGCGTTAATATTGTCTTTCATGTTTTTCTTAATGCGAATAGCATTGTTTTTTTTTCCATAATTTTGTTAGGCTAGTAATAGAGCAAAATATGCTCTTCCAGGTTGGTTTTGGTGTTTGAATTTAGTTTACCCTTCTTTGATTGCTATTCTGATCATTATTTCGTAGTGCTTATTGTTTTATCATTTTTGTAAAGTAAGGAATCGAGGCTCCTGTTGAGAAACTCTACTACTCCACCATACAATTATGCTAGTTATAGAACAACCAGTGAGTGTTCTGACAATTTACTACATGTGATGTGCTACGTTTTAGTCACTTGACTCTGGATTTTCCTCATGATAAATTTGGTATCTTTACTTGGCACTACATATATTTATGATGTCTCCTTACAATTGTTGCAGCATTCTCATGATGTACCATGCAAAGAAGTTCTCTGTACCCTTTGGACCGCAGAGTACACAGAGTAACGAGCATATGAGTAATATTGGAGCTTTTGGCGGGTCAAACATGGGCAGCCCTGCTAATCCTGCAGGGAGTGGGAAACAACGGCTACGTTGGACCTCAGATCTCCATAACCGCTTTGTGGATGCTATTGCTCAGCTTGGTGGACCTGATAGTGGGTATTCTCTGTCGAGTATTAGTCGTTGTGGTTGAACTTAATACAATGTTTAAACTGCGGTCTACAATTCACTTGTCAATTTCCTTTTTTTACGTCTCATGTATCTCTCCATCATCAATAATTTTGAAGCCCTATCAGTAATTTACATAGATAAAATCTTGCAAATTAATGTTATATTTAACAAGCTGGACATCTGAATATTTAGTATCAGTTTACATCACATGGGCTCATTCACAACAGAAATCTGTCAGATTAAAATTGAAAAGGATAAGAGGATAGCATGCACATACTTCAGAGGATTCTTGTTATTTTTATGTATATCTCGCCTTATAGCTGTGGTCGTCCATTCTATTAAGTTCAATCACATTGGGAAATGTTCATGCCTTGAAACTGCAAACTATGTCAATAATTGGAAACTGCTTTGAATATTGTGTGGTGCACATGTGTCTGGCTCTATTACATGCTAACTTGTCTAGTGGTAAGCTAGCATGTTACTATGCGATTGATCAGTTTATTATTTTAAAATACAAGAAGTACGATGTATCTAACACGCCTTTCTGCATATTATCATTGCTTCAGGAGCAACACCTAAAGGGGTTCTCACTGTAATGGGTGTTCCTGGGATCACAATTTATCATGTGAAGAGCCATTTGCAGGTGAATTTTCTCTTTAATGAAACAGGTATTAAGAGTTCCATTGTAGGCTTGTAGCTAATACTGTCTTTCTTTGTGCTTATGCAGAAATATCGCCTTGCAAAGTACATACCAGAATCTCCTGCTGAAGGTACGCATCTTCTATGCTTCACATACTATCTCTTAACTTACCTTTCCCTTCCACCTTGCTACATCTGGAACTAGATGGCTATTTTTGGTTTTGAATGTTACTGTTGGCATCTTATGTAGGCTCAAAAGACGAAAAGAAGGATTCTAGCGATTCCCTCTCTAACACAGATTCTGCACCGTAAGTGATCTTACTCAGTGACTTGTACACAAGTTCATATCCTGTAGTAGTGTTATCTTGTATGCTGGTTGATACAAACTTGATCTTACTCAGTGACTTGTACACAAGTTCATATCCTATAGTTGTGTAATCTTGTGTGTTGGTCGGTACAAACTTCTTAGATTTACATAGTTGATATAAATATTATTGCTTACATTGCAGAGGAATGCAAATCAATGAAGCTTTGAAGATGCAAATGGAGGTCCAGAAGCGACTCCATGAACAACTTGAGGTCTGCTGTTATAAGATGTTAACTAGTGTCACCTTGGGAATCTTTTTTGCATCATTTAACTTGTCGACAAACCAAAATTTCCTCTAGCAAATTGGAGTTACACCTTGAGTATTTTTCCAGTTTGTCTTTTTTTCCCTGTCAAGGTTAAGCCTTAAATCTCTTTCAGTTAATATGAGAACCATTGCAATTTCCTTAGGTGCAAAGGCAGCTGCAGCTGAGAATTGAAGCACAAGGGAAGTACTTGCAGATGATCATAGAGGAGCAGCAAAAGCTCGGTGGATCACTCAAAGCTTGTGAGGAGCAGAAGCTACCGCATTCACCACCAAGCTTAGATGACTACCCAGATAGCATGCAGCCATCTCCAAAGAAACCCAAGATGGACAACCTGTCACCTGATTCGGTACGGGATGTGACACAGTCAGATTTTGAATCCCATTTGATTGGTCCTTGGGATCAAGAGGCTGCATTCCGAGTGGATGAATTTAAAGCTGACCCTGGTCTGAACAAATCATAAAGCAAAACCTCACTCATCGGAAATTCTTGATCCAAGATGTTAACCTCCACTGCGGGCCGATCGCATGTGAATATATATCCTCTTAACAACAGAGCGAGCCTTGTAAGGATCTTTGGATCCACATCTGATTCCTTCACCACGGCCAGGTGTTGTCGTCACTGTAGTATTCATCATCATCATACAGCTCTTGTAATTATCAGGATGTCCTAAAAGCCCTAGCAAGCAATTTTCCTTCTTTTGAAGGGAAATTGCCCTGAGTTGAATCATGTAGCCAGAAAGAGTACACATTTACACGCAATACATTTGCTGTGAAGAGGGTGTGCCTCCCTGAAGTTATATGTGAATGATTTGTGTTAGATTCATAGTTAGAATTTGGCCTTCTCTCTTCTACTGCTAAGTGCTGCTCAGAATCAAGAAAAAGGAGTAATGATTAAAATGAAGGGTTAGGTTCTAGCTTTTGTTTTGACGTTTGACAAAGTAAGGTCTGGTTTGGTTTACGATCAATGTAAAACCTTACCAAAACATTTGTATGCTAAATCGGGGTACTGACAAAATTTTGGCGAAGTCAGTTATTGGTTTGCTGCCAACATTTTTCTAGGCTGTCTGGTTATAGTTTGGTTTGAAGACAACTGAAGTTCCAAGTCCCAACCATATGCTCTGCAAAAATTTAGCAATGTATGAGTTGTCACTACTAAAATTTAGTACAGCAAATTAAATGGTAGTCAAGTTTATTGGTGTTACTAAAATTTTAGTGCAGTTGATTTATGCATTGACCCAGGCAAGCCCCAAGAAACCATGCTCCCTCCGTTGACACCATGGGATGAAATCGGCAAGAGGTAATCGCGTAATTACAAGGTAGCATGTGTCCATTTTTCAATAATGAAATTAGACGAGTCCCTATCTGGCTAGCTACCTCTGCACCCAAGAGTGTTTAGTGTTAATAACAAGAAGAATTTATGTTCATAGCATTTAAATATTTACAGTATGTGCTACTTACATTAACATATTCTAATTCACACACATTATTTTTGGTTGAAAAATCTATTTTGCTCCGATTTTAATTCTAATCCAACCAAAACACATTTTTGGTCATAATCAGTCGTCATGCATGACGAGCGACTACTGCTACAGCCCGTTTAGTCCCAAGCCCAACTTAGAGCCCCCGCACTCTTAGTTTTAGGACTAAGTGGAGAAAATGTGCTAGACTTTACAAACCAAATGTATACTCCCCCCGCCCCTTAAAGTTTTATAGTTTTAGCTAGTGATAGGCATATTAAGCATAAGGTTAAAAAACTACTGTGACACATTAATGCAGAAAGAAGGAGAAGAAAGAGTGAGTACTACTGGTTGAACGACAAAAATGAGAAATAGAAGATTAAGTTGTTCTAAAAAGAGATTTAGTGTATCCCACTATGAAAATATAGTCTTCATGGGATAAAATTTTAGGCTAAAATATAGCTTTTCAGGAACAGGTTGGGTACAAAACGATACCTGAGTGGTGAAGTGAACGTAACTTAACTGTTTAATATTCTTTTGGTGGATCTTGCTCACTCACCATATTCAAGTACTACACTTAGGTTATATTTTGAAGAGCTTAAGATGCTGAGAAACTACTAATTGGTAGCTAGCTTACAAGAATCTAAAAAGATTGGGTTTCTGAGCTTTTGTATTCTAGCTCATTTCTTAAATTCTCTAACTACATAATTTTCAGAATCCAAGTGAGAATCTGTAATTTTTGGAGCCGGAGATTTTAAGAGAAGTTGTAGCTGCTAGAAACTCCCTTAAACAGAGCCTTAATATGTGCTCGTATTTATGGCTAATTATTCTTTCAGTAATAGACGATGTACGCATCGACAGTGGGATAACCATGGTAACTTCATCAATGTTAAGATATATTGATTCCGTTTTTCGAATGTCCTTATAAGGATATGGTGTGCGTGTATGTAAGTGAGTGCACGCTCTATGAGTAGATGCGTTTGTATTGTGGTTTTTAAAAAAGAGTACTGCTACACGCCCTAAATTTTTCTTATGAAACTCTTACTAACAAATTTCTCAACCATTTGATTTAACTAGATGGAATTATAGAAATCTATATTTACTCAAAGCTTGCCACGTCAAATTTGTAAGCATTTGGTAAAAATTTTATGTATATGCTTTTCCTTAAAAAATGCAATACAAAAGTGCGTGGCCCTTTGTCAGTGACATAGAAAATGAACCATATAACTTTACTCCAGTACGCGTAGCAATTGTGCTTTTAGGGCCCCGTTAGTTGTCTAAGGTTGTGTTCGTTGCTGTGCGTTGGGAACACATTTCCAGCGCACGGAGAATGGAGCGGTCCATTAGCATATGGTTAATTAAGTAGTACTAGCTTTTTTTAAGAAAAAGATTAATATATTCTTTTAAGCAACTTTCTTATACAAACTTTTTTTAAAACCATATCGTTTAGCAGTTTGAAAAGCATACGCACGGAACATGAGAGAGGTGAGTTGGGAAAGTTAAGGAAATACTTCAGCCTAAGGGTGTGTTTAGTTTACGCTAAAATTAAAAGTTTGGTTGAAATTGGAACGATGTGACAGAAAAGTTGGAAGTTTATGTGTGTAGGAAAGTTTTGATGTGATGGGAAAGTTGGAAGTTTGAAGAAAAATTTTGGAACTAAACTCGGCCTAAGTTAGGAGAGGTGTTTGTTGTGCACGTAAAACGGAGAAACTCATTAGTACATAATTAATTAAATATTATTTATTATAAAATTTTGAAAATGGATTAACTTAATTTTTTTAAACAATTTCTATATACAAACTTTCTATAAAAAAACTGAAAAGAGTGCTAATGAAAAAGGAGAAAACTAATGTTTGAAGTAGAGTGGTAACTGAAGCGTCACCCCCACTATAAAACCACCCCTAAAACCTCACGGTTTCAGAGCACGCACTCCACTCCACGTCTCCACCACCACCGCAGCGAAGCAGTTGCCGCCGCAAACCATGGCGCCCACGTCGGCCGGAAACCTAGCCCCCGCCACCGCCATCCTCGTCGTGGTGGTGGCGGTGGTCCTGGCGGCGGCGGCGGCGAGCCAGGACGGCGACGCGCTGACGGAGTTCAGGAAGGGGATGAGCGACCCCGACGGCGCGCTGGCGAGCTGGGACCCCGACCTGGTGAACCCCTGCACCTGGTTCCGCGTCACCTGCAACGCCGACAACCGCGTCATCCGCCTGTGAGCCCTCGATCCTCCTCCCTCCTGTTGCTGCAGAAAGCTCGCCGGTTTCGCATCGTTTCGCGTTGGATTTCGTAGAGAGTTTAGCGGGGATCAAATCCTTTTCCGAGGTAAAGGTGGCCGTCAATGGCGGTGAGCGCGAGGAGTCGCGAGGAGGAAGACGAAAGAGTTTTTTGAGTTTTTTGTTTGACTCGCGTGGTTTTTGGCGTGAATCTCGGAGCAAATCCATCGGTCGGAAAATCGTGGGACACAGGATTGTTTGGGCCTATTCGTTGGCCCGATCCAAACCTCTTGGGCTGGGCCTTCTCGGCCCCAAATGTTGTCACGTTGATTCACGGCTATAAGAAGAACATAATCAATGGGATTTTTTATGATTTTCAAAGGGTGAGATACTCTTCAAATTCATCTGATTCTTTGCCTGATTTTGGTTTCCATTTTTTGCTTTAACAGAGATCTTGAGGAGATGAACCTGTCCGGCCATCTGTCGGCCGATCTTGCGCGACTGGACCAGCTACAATTTATGTAAGCTCTTGTAATCAATCATGCAAATTAAAGTTGTGTTTTTTTTTGTTTGTTATTGTTGTCAAGAAAGAAATGAAAAGGCACATTTAGCAGACTAATGTCAATGTAGTTTAATTTGCTAGTGCTTCTCTTTGTAGAGAGTTGCAAGACCATCAGTTTTTTTTTTTTTAATGCCAAGCCCATCAGTTACATGGAGTTTTTATTGACTCTTTCTGTCTTTTGCTATCTTGGGTTAGGGAAATCGCTTCGAACAATATTGAAGGACCAATTCCGCCAGAGTTTGGTAATCTGGAGAATTTGATTAGCCTAGACTTGTGCAACAACACCATTTCTGGGCCGATACCTCCGTCGCTTGGGAAACTCAAGTCCTTAAAATTCATGTAAGTTCTCGTTGTCCATTTGTTATCATCCCTCACCTGACCTTTTCCACTCAAGTAATTAATGCCCGGATTATCTGTAATTAATGTAAGTTCATGTGCACAAGTCTTAAAAAAAACTTATATCTGAAATCAGAAAGTACTGTTCAGCTATGCAAAATGTACTTTGATATCTATGTTTGAGTTTTTGTTTTTTCTTTACTCTTGGCAGGAGAATTGATCACAACCTTTTAACTGGGCCAATCCCAAACGAGCTGGCTGGGCTGTCAAACCTCATGATCCTGTAAGAATTCACAACTCAGCTCGATCCAACTTTTGTTGCCGTAATTTACATTTACAATTATCCTTCACCCTCATGATACTTAAAATTATCCCCTGTCCTTGCTCTTAATTTCATTCAGAAATGTATCCAACAACGATCTCTGTGGGACAATCCCGACGTCCGGGCCGTTCGATCACTTCCCTCCGAGCAGGTATAGTAGCAGGCGTGAATAATTCTACTTGCCTTGTTCTTCTCCATGGCACATTATCAAATCTGCAGTTTACTTTTGATCTGATGAACACTGCAAGAACATGCATGATAAGCAGTTTAATTTTGCTCTGATGGATACTGCAAGAACATGCATGATAGGTTTTTCGCTAATGCTAATGCTGATGCTGATACTGATCAATGTTAAGTTGCGCTAATTTGTTAATTTGTGTCTTATGTATATGAAGCTTTGCCAGCAACCCGCGGCTGAGGTACCCCGGGATGGACGACGATGACACCGGCCGCTAGATCATGGCAGCATGAATTAACGAATAAAAAGAAGAGGACGGCGGCGGCGTCAGGTTCTTCACCGGAAGCAAGCCTCGTCGGCGTCGATCGGTGCAGACTCTGTCGACCTGGAGCTTCTTAGCATTAGAGTAGCTTGGCCGTAATGGTAATGCTAATGAGTAATGACAATGATTATTATCTCAGCATTACGTACTTCTGTTTACTGGCATAGTATATGAAATCGATCGTCTTAGCTCAGTTGCTTGGTGTTTTGCCTCCCTAGCTATGTTACTTATCTATGTTATTCGAGAACTAAATTAACCATCGATCGCCTATGCCTATCTGATAATCGGCTCCATTGTTTCACTAAACGGCATATTTTCAAACGAAAAATAATTTATGAATAAAACTTTTACATATGTGTTCTTAGTGATCTAAAAGCAAAAACTGAATCGATGAAAAAAAATCCCGAAATCAAGTTTAAATTTATAAGATTGAAAATTCAAATTTTGGCTCCTAAGCATAAGCATAAGCGAAAAGATGAGACTGAATAATTCGCCCTTCAGCCTAGTTGTTTCATTTATACCTATGCTCATCTCTACTATTATAAAAATAGAAAATGTTACCCTCGAAATTTTGGTGAATCTTTGAATTGATTATAACTCGTTTGTATCTAATTCGACGTGAGTCTAAAATAACTATTATATACTCCCCTAGTCCAATCCAACAGGCCTACACAATCTCGCAGCCCCGTCCCGTGCGTTTTCACTATGCGTCGCGCGTACCCCTTCACCAGTCAACGTCTTTTTACCTTTCCTTTTTTGCTTTTCTTTTCCTTTTCTTTTCTCCAGATCATCCTCTTCTGGTCTTATCTCTTCTCCTTTTCTCTATTCTCTTTCTTCTTCTCTTCCAATTTCTCTCATAAATATTTGCTTTTTAAAATTATCATCGTTTAAGATGTGTATGTGGCAAGTTCGTTACTTTGCAAATGCTCTCTATCTACGGTAAAAATAACTTTCGCTAATTGAATAATCAAAATTTCAATCTTTGATCCATGATGTATAACAAAATACACATGCGTTAACTTATGGAATAGCCACTCGATCGATTTGTGAGGCTATGGAAAGATGTACCAAAGATTCTTCGTGTGATGACGCATGAAACAAGCGTAACCACGCTCAATGCTATAAATGATTTCTAACTTTGTTTTGCCATTGTTTTGTTTTTCTTGTTTCGGTTTGTCATTTAAATTGGCGGAGTTTTTATCAATCGTGAAAATTGTCTTCATTTATTGCAACGCACAGATATTTTTGCTAGTAAATCAAATTTTAAATTTTAAAACTTACTTCTAAAATTGGTTTTGTGGTTTTTTTTATCGTGGTTTATTTTATAACATTTTCTTTTGAATCGTTAAGGACTTGTATAAAAGTATTACTTACAATTTCTTAGCTAACAAATGATACGGTTAAACTCATAAACATATGTATAAGCTTAATAATAGTGGACATTTTGTCTCCTCGACGAAAATGTGGAGGGAGCAGTGAGAGAATGGAGGATAAGCACGGCACAAACGAGGACCATGAATAGGAGCAGGTGGTGGTCTGTGCCTGTCTGTCACGCTTGACTCCGTCTCTGTCTCTTGTCGCCGCGCAGGTCTCGCCATCGTCGCCATCGACGAATCAAGTCCACCTTATCCACGCAGATAGAGTGTTCCTTTGCGTCGCAACTGCATATCACATTGTTCTTCGTTACTCGGCTTCGGTATATGCACACAGCTTTATACTATCTCCATCTACTATATATCGTATTGCTAAAATCTCTTGTAGATTGAAGGTAGTACTCAATAAGTTAGAGGTTGTTTACATTATAGTCAAAATAAATCTATTGCCAAAATATTGGTAAGTTAATAATATTGTGAAAATTTTCACAGGATTTATTATGTATTTATTAAAATTTGGCAAGAAACTAAATATATGCACATCATTAGCAACTTTACCCTAAAATGGTATGGTTTGAAATATCATCGATCGTTGAAAATCGATAATAACAAGTAGGAATACAAGTATTTGGTTTTTGCGGTTATCTCTTATCTCGTGCCGGTTTACACGGGGAAAACTGTTTTAAAATTTGAGCTCAAATTCAAAAGTGTTTTTAAATCAAAGCTATTTGAATTTCACTACTGCCACCGTTTAAAAATAAGTTAATCTTCCATAAAAAAATAAGTTAATCTAGCATGAGATGTGGCATATCTTAGTACTGCGAATCTAGATATATACATATTTAGATTCGTATGATATGTCACATCCCATACTGGAATTAACTATATTAAAAAAGGAAAAAAGTAACCGCTGCTTAAAGGTCCGACGCTGACGCGGTAAGATAACGTGTTGTGATATGCACAGTAGTACAACGTGTCAAGAGAAAGCCTCACAACTTACAAGACCATACTTTCCCGTCAAAAAAAAACCAATATAAAAGGAATGTGATTTTTTTAGTAGAATAATTGGTTTTCTTTTACGGAAAGACTATGTTCTTAAGAAAAAAACTCACAAGACCATATGATCATTGATCTCTGCAACGGTGGATCGCGTGGCTCTTTTGCTCTTACCCCAGGGGAAAATGTCGCTTCGGTTGCAAGTTACTACTAATCATACTAAAATCACTGTCTTTTTTCTTGTGGACTTCGTGCGGAACATAATTGTAAAGGAGCTGCAGCTTTTCATCGAGATCTACCGAAACAAGTTCTTCTTCTTTTTTTTCTTTTTGTAAGGATTTGTGATGGTCTCTGCTCTGTTCCTTAGCAGGGTTAATCCCTATCACTTCAGCACTTCCCCTCGCAGTGGATTCCACTAGGTTCTTAACCTCTTCCCAATTCTTAAACTAAAACCAACGATGTCTAATCCAACTCGGCACCTAACCAGCTTGTCAGCATCGTAAGTTTGCCTCAACATTCTCCCTAGAAATAGAATAAGAATGTAAATCTACTTTCATTTATTTATTAGGGATGAGACTTTCTTATATATTTTATAATAAGTATGCTTTGGAGTAAAAAGGTGGAATGTCCGAAGAAATTTTTCATTGCTCCATTCCTGTCTGTGTCTTTCTCGATCTCAAAGTTTTCGCTGTGATCGAAACAAAGCAAGTATAGTCGTTCTTGTATTTTGAATCATACTTAGTTTTCCACTCTGAAACATACCTTTTTCCTGCGTTTTCTCCTGTGTTTTTCATCCCTCTTCCAAGAGCCTAAGACATCTTACTGGTTATACCTAGAGATGTGGAGAGAATTTGAGGAGGATATCCCCTCATATACCTTTTTCTCTCAAATTCAACATAAATGGTTATGAAAAATTCTTTAAAAAAATTAGCAGTGTAGAGTATACTAACATGTACCACTCCACAAAAAATCATATAAAATCCAATCTACACAGTAAGAAACGAAAAGGATAAATTCATATATGAATAATACCAATACTCTTCATATGTAGAGTTTGTCCTTTTATATTTATTAATGTGTGAGTTGGGTTTTGAATATTTTATATTGTATATTGTATAAATGTGGTCAATAATTTTTTTAAAGAATTTTGAACAACTATTTGGATGATGTTTGAACAAACGAGGGAACATCTCCTCAAGAGTCTAAAAAACTTCCCCCCTAGAGCTGTCTCATGAATTTCACTAAAAAAAAAAACCTCTTTTAGGATATTGGCAAATTAAATGATTTACCACATTTCCCTTAAAAACACACACTTTCAACTGGTGTTGCTAGTGTTTTTTTTTCCTCTTTTTTCCTTTATCCAAGACTTTGAGCACACATCAATGAGTATTATCAAAGGGCTATTTATATTATACAAGGGGGATGTCTGTACAATAGTCATTCCCTCTATTTATGAATAAATCATTCATCTATTTTGTCTTGGTTGCTATGAAGTGACTTGTTGCTTTTAGAATAGATGGTTTGGCCCCTCATCGTACTCCTCGCCACTGATCTTACGTGGCATTCGTTAAGAGAAGGTTGAGTTCGATGGTTGCAACTAAATAAAAACAAGAAAAAAAATATTGAGGCTGGCTAGCTAAACTGATCTCCCAATTTTGATGACACAAGCTGTTGAGGGTTGCTTTCATCACATGCAATTTTTGTCTTACAAACCAAATTATTTGTAATAAAATAAGCAGCAGCCTAACATACCTTCCAATCAGCCAATCAGACTACCTAGTAAATAAGAAGAAATGTTGAGGTTAGCTTTCTATTTGATATTTAGCCTAAATTCACAACAGAACAGACCAACTAATTTGAGATCGTCCTGATTTTGATTTCACAAGTTGTTAGGGATTGCTTTCAAATGTATTTTTGGCTTTCAAACCAGATTGGTTAGAATAAAATAAATCATCACATCTCAAATATATTCCAATGGGGCCATACCTGTGTAAAGTGTAAAGGAGGCAATATTATTGAAGCTAGCTTCATATTTCATTTTCAACCCAGATTAAGGGTGTGTTCGCAGTTGGTTGTTCCCAACCGGGAAAATAGTACTCACGGAAAACGGAGCAGTCCATTAGCACGTAATTAATTAAGTATTAGCTATTTTTTTCAAAATGGATTAATTTAATTTTTTTAAGCAACTTTTGTATAGAAACTTTTTACAAAAGACACACCGTTTAGCAGTTTGAAAAGCATGCGCGTGGAAAACGAGGAAGAGGGGTTGGAAAATGGGGCATCTGAACACACCCTTAAAAAAACAGGCTAGCTAATCTGATCATCTTCATTTTGATGTCACAAGTTGTTGGGAATTGCTTCCAAAAGTAATTTTGGCTTTCAAACAAAATAGGTTACAACAAAATAAGTCACGATCCTAAACTATCTTACAATTAGGCATGTACCTATAAGGCTATAAAGGGAGCAATATTATTGAGGCTAACATTATATTTAGTTTTCAACCAATTTTTTATTTAAAAAACCATGCTAATACTAATTTGACCATCCAGATTCTGAATACAGAAGCTGTTTGTGGGGTTGATTTCACGTGTAATTTTGGCTTTCGAGCCAAATATGTTGGAATAAATGGTCACACATAGCAAATTCTACTCGGCCTATTCCCTAAAATAATACTAGAAAATTTGACAATTTGTGTCTTGTTCTTTTGAACCTCCTACGACCTAGTGGAGTAGTAATAAATTATCGTGGGACGCTGAATTCTTTTTAAGTAGAAGTTCTTCTTTTAAAAATCAAATAAACTTATTATTCAACTTTGTAATAATTAATGCACTGATAAAATGTTTTCTACACTCAATATGACATTTGATTAGTCTTAGGCACTGTCCTGTTAGGCCACTCCCACATTTTGTATGACTGATAAATGATGCATTTTATATTAAAAACTTTCAAATTTCTTTAAAATCTAAATAAATTTATTTTTTGATTTTATAACATTTGATACTTAGTTAATCATGCACTTGTAACCAGGGTTTACCAAACAGTTTGGGATAGGTTTACCTATGTAACCGTGTGGTTATCATGAAAACTGCACGGTTACCATAAAATATATCATGATTCTGAAAAACTGAAAACGTGATAACTGCGCAGTTTGTAAACCTGGTAACTCGTGTAGTTTTCTGAACCGAACACACAAAAGTCACACTCGCCGAACAGCGCAGAAAATCCACGGTATCCCCAAGCAAAAAGAGATCAGTCAGTGTGTGTAAAGTGGATAAGCACGGCCCTACCTATCCAATCCGTCCTCCTGCTGCCCCCTCCCTCCGGTTATTATCATCATCGTCCTTCGTTACTGCAAATAATGGTCGCCAAACTGCCCCCATTTATTTCTCTCAGTTGTGTATATTTTGTCCAAAGCACAAGGTTATTTTCCGTTCTTAAATCATAGTATTGATTTTTCAAATTGATATCTTCCTCAGTAGGGTAAGGAATTTACTGGCCTGCCTTTGTGTTGAAAGAATTTGTGGGACCTTTGTGGTAGTAGTACTTCCCTTGCTCATGAAGTTTACAAGGTTTATTGGTCTTTGCATGTTTGTTTTACCACCATATTAAAATATTAACAATATTAAAATTTGGATAAATTTGATAGAGCCAATTTTCTTATAACTTATGTGTGTTATTGGTGTATTTTGGTAGCAAATCAAATACTATAAATGTTAATAATTAATGTGCCAACAATTTGATAAGGCACAATTTAGCTTCAAATCAAAATAGTCCTTAGTACCCCCTCTATCTATTTTTGATAATCATATTTTATCCTGGCACAATGACTAAGGATAAGTAATTCTACTTAGGACATCCACAATGGTTATCTATAGGCTATTTACAAGAGATCCATATCAGTATATTTTTCTACCTGGAAGAGATTAAATGAAGAGAGAGAGCAAAGCTATCTACTAACCTGGAGATAGTCTATAGAGAAAAACGAGGCAATGGATTAGAGAGCTATAGATACCCATATAGACATACTATTGAGGTGGTTTACTATTAATCTAGTCTATTGCTGAGATGTACATGTTTTATATAGAACACTTTACTTTACCATTGTGGGTGCTCTTATCATCCATTTAAACAAGCTACTAGTTATCCCTCGTATACAAGTGATTCATTAATATTTACATTTATCGATGCCCATGTAGTCAATCTTGTGTGGAAGAATGAAGATCACGCATTAAATCCGAGAAAGTCATTAGTAAGAAGATATGTGGTTGGATTGAAATATACCTATCAAAAGTAAATTTTTCAGATTTAAAAATATTTCTATCAAAAGTAGATAGGGGAGTAGTAGATTGAGTAGAAACAATGATGATGATTGACACAAACTGTGTTGATTTTTCTGTTATTTTTATAGAATCAAAGTATACCCTTGAATCCTCATTTTCATTGAGCTAAGCGGGTCATAACTAAGTTTCTAGTGGGTTACAAGGTGCACGGTTTTTTCCCTACAGTTAAGCACGCAAGCTTTATTCTTTATACTCCCTCTGTCCCCATGATACAAGGGATAACTGTCACATCCACCTATTATCATTTATATTATGGGACTGAGGGAGTAGTAAATATTATGATCCAAATGTCTCATATTTTTCATTTATACTTATGCTTATAAGCTAAAAATTAAATTTTAAAAGTTAGTTTTGAATTTCAAAAATTTCAACATAATTTATTTTACAATATTTACTTTAAGTCACAAAGGACATGTATATAAAATTTTATTTACAAAAGGCTTTTTATTTGATAACATGTGATTCGGATAAGAATATAAATAAACGAAACAATGACTGAAATGTATAATCCTGGACTGATCTAGGCATGCACGGTCAATCAAGCAGACTTTTGAGTTTAGTAAAGAAAATTACATGAATAATTTACACCGAAATTGGACCAATTATAAGCCTTCCGAGTAGGTCCTTCACAAAATCTCTCCATGATATTTATTACGATATTCTTTCCCGGCTTCATATTTAGAGCATCCATATTATTTTCGGTCGTGTCATTTATTAAGCATACTAGTTCAACTCTACTAAAGTTTACACCTCCAAGTATTAACGGTGATGGCTTAATGTCCACTTGTAACCTATAGTTGGACAAAATTAAGAGCATATAAAATAAGAAAACCAATAACATATAATTAATTAAGTTTCAATTATTACAAACTCAAAAGATACCTTTATTTGATATTTTAGAGAAACTTCTATATAGAAAACTTTTGTACGAAACATATCGTTTAATAATTTAAAACATGCTAACAAAAACCAAAATACAATCTACATCTTAAGACTTAAAATACAATCAGAACGAACTAAGACTTAAGTTGATTAAAAGCTGTTCTTTTTTTTAAAAGAGAAAAAGAAAAATCATGAATGTCATCATTCACTGTGCTTAGAGCAAGTATAATAGAGGGCTATAAGAAGCCTGAATGCTGAGGTGGATGAGAGAGGAGAGAAGAGAGATGAGAAGCGGGCTGTAAGTTTACAGCCGGTTTAGATATAGGAACCAAGAAAATCTGTGAGACAGACATGTGTACCATATATTTATAGGGAAAAGTTAATTATTATATGAGTGAGCTGATAAATAGGGTAAATAGTAGTAGTACATGACCTCTCTCGGAAGGACTGCAACAAATCAGAGAAAAGCAGGCCCTATCCAGAAGTAGTACTGCTGAAATGCGAAATTCCCACATCTATAAGGTAGTACTAGTATTGTTTTCTCGCTGTCTCTATCCAAATCTTTGAAAAATAATATTCTCATCGCAAAGCCAAAAATTTTGACTAAATTGAATAGCTATCCCCGCAAACACACCAACTAAAAGCATCATCCTAATCCAGACTACTAATTACTTCATCCGTAAAAACACTCAATCTAGAAGAAGATGCTAATCCTAGGACAACGAATTAAAGGATAGCTCCATTTTTCACCTCTCATGTTAATCTCGAAATAACTTTATTTCTACTCCCCATCCTAAAATACAAGCATTTTGGTAGGAATATAAATATCTGGGGAGTGTTTAAAGTAGAAAATAATTACAACTACAATTTAATAACGTGAAAGTATTCTAGTTCTTTTGTCGCTTATTGCAACGGGTGGGATATGTGTGAAAAATAAACTTGGCCGATCCAACGGCGGGGGAAATCCGCCGGAAATTAAAGCCGGCGCCGCGAGCGTGCGGGCGTGGCGCGGCGTGCGAGTCACGTGACCCACGTGCCAAACTGCCTCTTATATCGCCTCCTCCTCCTCCTCCCCTGCCTCCGGCGAAGCGGCCGGCGGCTGAGGCGAGATTCGCGGCGACCACGTCGGCGAGGAGCGCGAGAGTGGGGGCCCTCCTCCTGTCCGCCGTCCGCATTCTCGTCGTGTCTGGTTTGAGCTGCTGCTGCTGCTGCTGCCGGTGGGAGTTGGGCTGCTTGCTTGCTTGGTTTGATTGGTGGAGGTGGGAGGAGTACTGGAGTAGGCGAGTAGCTGTGGGTTGGGGTCGGCGAGGGATCCGGGCGGCGGGGTATGGGGAACGCGAGCGGCAAGGAAGGGGAGGAGAACGGCCACGTGGCGGCGGGGGCCGCCGCCGGAGTGGCTGGCTCGGCGGGGGCAGCGGCCCGGGCTCCGCCGCCGCTTATGCCGCCGGACGCCGTGATGCGGGAGCTGCCTCCCCCGGTGCCCTACGTCTTCACGCCGCAGGTGAGATGTGGTGATTAATTTTTATTAATTTTTACTTCCTTTTGATTTGATGTTCTTGGTGGCTTTTGCGTGGTAAAACCGTAAAAGAGTGTTTCCTCCTCGATTGTGCCTTGCTAAATTAGTCTCGCTCGATGATGTCGAGTTCTTGTTTTTTGTCGAGATTGTTTGATTAGCTTGGCAATTTAGCATTAGCACTGGTTGCGATTTGCGAGCTTGGTTGTGACGCACACACACAAAAGGGGGTGAATTTTCTATGAATCCTCTTCACTTCTTTCACTCATCAGAATTCAGCAAGATCCATCCAGTGTTGATAAACTTGAAATGGCAGCTCACTTTGCTTCAAGCCTTCAACTGTAGGGTTAGTGGGTAGCAGAAGCTGAAGCTGAGGGCTAAAGCTTACAGATCTATAACTAATCCGCAACTTGTATCTCTTTCCGATATTCTCAAAGAGTGTGTTCTTGACTCCTTGTTGCTATATAAAAAAACTTCACCGCAATAAAAGGCTCTGTCAAGAACTGTTGATAGATTTGGTGGCACCTGGATTCTCTGCAAACGGATTGGGTGGCTCTGAATCTTGGATTAGTTCCACACACTGTAGTGGGCAAGTTGGCCCTCTTACCCCTAGAGGGCACATATACCTTTTTTTTAATCATTATATGATAGAAATTGAGCTGTGGCGGCTGTATGTGGAGTACTACTATTCTAGATAATCTTGGTGCTGTTGATTCTTTCATTTCCCTCGTTAATTACAAAAGCATGGAGACCATGATCTAGTTTTGAGGGGTTTTGGTACTGATAAGATATGGTGGTACTGTGTGCTAAGGCTACAAGTTTTTAATGTGTCCATGTAGAGCGCATTGTTTACTCCTGATTCCGAGACAGCCCATGAATTTAGAAGACGTGTCATTGTAATCACTTGGTTCTTGGTTGGCCTTGCCTACAATTCACAAAGGTCAAATGGCTGGTTCTTGGAGTAATACTAGTTCATAATCCTGAAAACTGTGTTGTTCTGCATTTGGGCAATTTCTTTATTTTTAGCGTTGAAAGTTTGAAAGACTCCATGTTCCCTTATTTGCCACTGATATCTCACGTGAGCCCTGGACCAACATGTTAGTGAGATGATGAGTTGCAAGTAATTTAACAGGGAATACTTCAGTTACATATGAGGAATATATTCTAGTATTTTGATCTGTCTAATTACAAATGTTTGTACAACTTCAGTTATTATATATTACTCTTAGAGTCTTTAGTCCCAGTTAAAACTGCTCTCCCTTTTCCCTGTAGAATGAAGTCAGCGTCCAGTCTTCACACACTTTCTCATCAATTTCATTTTGACCTATGGAATGTTACACATCAATACATCATTAACTGTTTCAGTTCCTGTAATATTGGAAGAGATATGTCATGAGCTCATGCTTCAGTTTGCTATAACTGTGCCATAACAAGTTGGCAACTATTACCTTTTGCCATCTTTCATATTAAGAATGTTGCTAATCTGTATTTATTTGGGAGTGAGAATAACTCACATGTTTGAGTATTATTGCTAGTCCTGCTTGAACTGACAGGCAAGTGCACATTGCAGGTTCCAGTAGCCCCACTGCATATACCTACTGAATTTTCTCCTGTTTTCAACAATTCATGGATAAATGAATCGGATGAATCCACCAATAACCATCCCCAGGAGAAGGGAATTCCAACTTTGATCTCATGGAGTCAAGGAGGAAATGAGGTGTTTGTGGAAGGATCATGGGATAACTGGACATCAAGGTACATGCTATTTAACAATGAAATTTCATGTTCAGATTGTTTCCACATTTCAGAAATAAGATGCTAAAATACAAATCCGGCATTTTATTGTCAGGAGGGTGTTAGAGAAGTCTGGGAAAGACCATACCATATTGCTAGTTCTGCCATCAGGGGTATACCATTACAGGATCATCGTCGATGGGGAACCGAAATATGTCCCTGAACTACCTCATGTGGCTGATGAGGGAGGGCAGGTTGCCAACCTCCTCGATGTCCATGTCAGTAAGAATATGCTAATTATTGATTTTAGCAATCAAAATTGAGAGAACCTAAAACCGCAAAGGCAAAAAAAAATGTGCATTTCCCTCTTGGTTTTATCTGAAGACATCTTTGTTTTGAATAGGATTATATCCCAGAAAGCCTGGGCAGCGTGGCAGGATTCGACTCTCCTCCGTCGCCTGAACACAGCTATGATCTCCAGCTCCCAGGTGATGAGGAGTTTGCCAAGGAGCCACCTATACTGCCACCTCAGCTTGTAATGTCTGTTCTTGGTGATACTGATAACTCTGAAGAACAAACTCTGAAGCCAAAGCATGTTGTCCTCAACCACCTGTATATCGAGAAAGGATGGGGATCGCAGTCGCTGCTTGCTCTTGGAGTCACTCACCGGTTTCAATCCAAGTATGTAAGCTTCGTGCTGTACAAGCCGCTGCGAAGGTCATCCACGGCGAAGCGAACAAAGAATGGTGGTTAAACTCATGGTAACTGACAATGTACATAAGTGAAATGCAGGAGGTCTTGTTGTTTGATGCTGATCAAAGCAATCAACTTTTTTTTTAATTTCTCTCTTTGTTTCTTTAATAAGCTGTTGTTGTAGCATGATGTTTTAGAAGCCTGAACTCTATGAGAAAATGAGTCAAGAGAGGGATGAAAAAAAAAGAGAATATCCCTCTATGCTTACCTAATGTCAGTGTGCAAATTTGTGTGGTCTGAGAGTAATGGTGCATGGAAATTTGAAAAAGCCTGTGAATTTATGCAAATATGTGTTCTCATTTTTCCTGTGATGCGGAGAAACTGGAAGAAAGAAGATGCTGAGACCAGCAGCTGCTGAAGAAGTCGTCTATATCATCTGGATAAAGTTGAAGTGTTGATTGGATAACCAAGACAAGAAGAAAAGGGTGATATGCATAGTGCACATGATCACACATCTGATGTGGATGTTGACAGAGGAACACCAGATTTAACTTCTTGCTGTCACAAGCTACCTGCATTTTGTCAAAAGGCTCAACAGTGACACTGAAAGCAATGGTCGGACTATATCTATGCAAGCATGGCGATGAATGATTGATCGGATGGTCCTAAAAAAAAAAAGATTGATCGGATGAACATCTCTTCTTTTACTTGTCTTTTGGTACAGACAGAAGATCAGCTGGAATTACACGTCGCATGTGTGAGACTTTGACGCTAGTTAACTGAAAACCAAACCAAACCACAAACTCTGTTGTGATTTGCATTCGCAATTTCGCACGTAGTATTTCATTGAAATTTGTGATAGTACAAAAATGAGATACAAATACCCGGTGCCCTGGCTGGTGGTGACCGCGCGTCCTGATCGGATCGCCGCTGAAGCCCAGGTTTATGAGGCGTCACCACGACGTCGACGAAGAACTTCAGCCGCCGCCGCCGCCGGAGACAAATTCTCATGTCACCTTCTTAAGGTGTGTTCGGAACTACAGGTTGTCAATTTCTATTTACTTTGTTAAGCACACGTTTCTCGAACAGTTAATTGCTCGTAAAAATTTTCTATAGTTAATACTTAATTAATTATTATGCGTCAATGAGTAGATCGGAGCCATCGTTTCAACTAGATTAGAGCCTGCTAAAGCCCAGCCCAGTCCAGCAGATCAACGAACAGATATCTTGCCGATGCCCAAATTGACACAAGTCACTGAGACGGCAGGATGGATGGCGACTCGAGCTTTCGAAGATCTCCTTAATCTCCTTGCCGCCGCGTACGAAGGACACATAGAGCTTTGAACGTGTAAAATAATTTACATGCATAGCTTTTAATTTTTTATCAATTGAGATTTAAAAGCCGATGTAAAATAAGCAGAATATGACAAAAAAAACTCAAAATTAGCCCTAAATTAAGTTTAAAAATTTACACTCTCTATTTGGTTGTGGTTAATGATAAGCTGTTGCAAGCGAACGATCGATGAGAGGGGTTTCTCTGTCTTAGGCCCACTCTTCTTCCGACGCTGCAACTAAAATATACAAAATAAAGTAATATAAAATATAACAATATAATAACGGTTGTGATACTATAAATATTGACAGAGAGCCTTAATATCGAAGCAGACATGATTAGAATTTTGGGTTTTGTTGGAGACAAAACTTAGACTAGTTGTGTTACTGCCGTGTAAGACAGGTTGGGGTAAAGAATAATTGTTTAAGATCAATTTGCAAAAAGGGCCATATTTCATAGGATCAATCTTGAATAAGTACTGTTGTTTGGGACAACTAGTTTAGCGCGGCTAGGTGTGGTTATTATTTATTAATAATGTTGTGATCGATATAGACGGAGTATATTGAACTAAACGTGCTGTAACCTGGAGTTGGGCTAACAGAGTCATGGTAATTTTAGATATTATATGATGTTTTTATGAAATTCACATAAGGATTACTAGGCCTACCTCGGTCCCTGGGGTGGATAAATGTATGCCAAACAATTAGATATATAAAAAAAGGGGATAGTTGCACATGGTTGCTGATAAAAAAGAATATATCATAATATGGAGTAAACACTAAGAGTAACGTTCAAAACATATACAGGAAATAAGTTCAATAAACTCTAACATGTATGAGGAAAAAATGGTGTTCTCCAATACATTACCGAGTGACATAGTAAAAAATATAAAAAGGCAAAAGTAAGTAAGATATCGTTTCGTTTTGTATAATGATCACACTCTTAACGACCAAAATTTCTCTTTTTGAATTCTTCTACATGTTTTCCTTCGCGCCAATTTACTTATATCATATGTTGTGATGAAAACCACGTCGCAACCCTATGTCACAATGTTGAATGGGGACATATCCGGTGAAAACCATCAAATAAGTGAAAACCCGTGAAAACCATATCTAAAAGTTTTATAAATTCATGAAAAGCACTATTCACCCCAAATTTGTCTTTTTTTTTCTCTCAAATGAATTTTAGTTTGGACTTAAGATTTGATATGAATGTACTTCATACCTATACTTATCTCTAGTAATTTTTTCATGAATTTACAAAACTTTTAGTTATGGTTTTCACTTATTTGATGGTTTTCACTGGATATTCCCCATGTTAGATACACTAACTATTTCATCGGTTATCACCATCTTGATCTCTAATGTTACTTGACACATGTAACATTAATTTCTTGCTACTTTAGCAACTACCCATCAAATATTCCGCAGCTAGTTTGGTTAGTGAATTTAGCTATCCTCTCCTTGACTTCCTACGAAGATTAATCTATCCTTCAGTATCTTTATATATACCGACAATTATAACATATTGAACAACAAAAGTTACATATACATGTGAAACCCTGATCAACAAAAAAAAAACTATTACCCATCTACACTCAACCTAAAGTTCCAAAAGAGCAAAAATGGAACATGGAATAAAGATTACCAAAAACCAAAGCAATTAAAAAAGAAAAAAAAAGACAAAAGGTACAAAAAAAAGAAAAAGAAAAAAAAAGGCAAAAGAGAACCGGATACATAACCCCGTCATCTCGGCGACCCTCTCTCGTGGTCGCTGCCTATAAAGGCCCAGCCACAGCCATCTCTTCTCCACCCCCCCCTCGCCACTCGTTCCCCTTCCTTCCTCTCCTCCTCTCGCGGAACCTTCTCGAAGCTTCCACACCCCCAACCTCGCCTCCACCACCAACCCCCCATGGCGGACCAGCTCACCGACGAGCAGATCGCCGAGTTCAAGGAGGCGTTCAGCCTCTTCGACAAGGACGGCGACGGTAACGCGCGCCACCCACCACTCCCCCCTCTCTCTCTCTCTCTTCTCCTCCTCTTCCTCCCCCCACGTTGGGGCACGCGCGCGGTCTCTGGGCGGCGCGGCCGGATCGGGCGACGCGGAGCTCGATCCGGGCGAATTGCGGTGTCGCGGTAGGGTTTCGTGTGTCCAGGGGCGCTAGATCCGGTTGATCCTGTGACGGGTTGGGTGTGGATTTGTGGTTCGGCGGTGATTCGGGATGATTTCGCCTCGTTTAGCTGTTTTTGCTGTGCAGCGGCTGTGTTTTCGTGGGGGGCGTGATCTTAGCGGATTTTGTGTGTTTCGATGTATGGTGTGTTTTGGATTTTTGCCGTGCTTTAGAGGAATGGATGATTTGGGATCAGCAACTAGGCCCTTTGAACTAGGGGCTAAGAGCGGCAGAGAGTTGTTTGATTTGGAGAGGAGGATCCGTACATCGAGTTTTGTGAATCATGCCATTTGTTATTTAGCATGGCGTGAACATTGGTTTACATGATGATCTACCACGAGTGCTTGAGAATCTCTATGTGGAGTTAGGCCAATGATTCTGTGTGGTTTTGAAATTTGGGTGTGGAATATACCAAACTTTATGTAGAATTGAGGTGTGAATCTGGTTTTGCAATAGCAGTATGATGCCTATGGCTAGTTTGTTTAGGGGAAATTCTAGTGCTTCAGTTGATATTTGTCTTTGTACAACAGTGTTGAAAGAACTGTGGGTTGTACACCAGTAGTGTTGAAAGAAGTGTTGAGTGATAGTATGTTGGTGTACCATCATTACACGAAGGAAAAATAGAGACATCAATGCAGTTCTTAGACCAACATTTAAGATGTAAAGTGCTCTTTTGTGGCCATAGTTTATTAAAACCTATGTTTTGAATTCTTCGGCGGCCTGTAGTTATTTCTTGCTCGTGCGCAAGAGAAGTTCATTTTTAGCAAGTCTTAGATGCAAGCTGGGCTGGTTTGTGATTTGTGCCACATCTAGTGTACACAATAATTATTGATGTAGGTTTATGAGTTGATCGTATGCTAGTGCGGTGGCGGGAAGCTACCTAAGTGGCTGTTAAACCTAGGCATCACATTCTTATCGTTTCATGATTCTCATCTGGACTGTAGCATATAGTGGTCTGTGATTTGTATTATATGTTCAATGATTCTATCTAGCACTATCATTCTGTGAAATAGGTTCATAAATTGGCTGAAAGTGATAACGATACTGATGGTGGTTTTGTGATGTGTATGTACTCTGTTGTCAGGACTCAGGACAACTTTGATTTCTTGGTCTTAAAATTGTACTTTGTGGACATAAAACAATATTACAATATTGCAGCACTAAAGGACCATGTTGTGTTAATTTTATAAGCGTTGAACGAGATAATCGCATGTTCCATTTAGTACTCTCTTGTGCTGATCTCTGAATACATTGTGCAGGTTGCATCACTACTAAGGAGCTTGGAACCGTGATGCGGTCCCTTGGTCAGAACCCAACTGAGGCGGAGCTGCAGGACATGATCAACGAGGTTGATGCTGATGGCAATGGGACCATTGACTTCCCAGAGTTCCTGAACCTGATGGCGAAGAAGATGAAGGATACCGACTCTGAGGAGGAGCTCAAGGAGGCCTTCCGTGTGTTTGACAAGGACCAGAACGGTTTCATCTCGGCTGCTGAGCTCCGCCACGTCATGACCAACCTTGGTGAGAAGCTGACCGACGAGGAAGTCGACGAGATGATCCGTGAGGCTGACGTCGATGGCGATGGCCAGATCAACTACGAGGAGTTCGTTAAGGTCATGATGGCCAAGTGAGGAGGGTTCCCATTAAATAAGTTCTGTCTGAAGTGAACTAAAACTGTCAGGGCCTACAACAAAGCTGTACTTTGTGATGTTCCTTTTAAGTACCTATCTTTGCTGGTGGTAATGTTGAGTAGCGATCGGGTTAGGTGGTCTAGTCATGCGAAACAACATCAGATGCCTGGTTTCTTTTGATTGTGATGCTTATCTTGCGCCTGCCGGAGCATAGGATTTGTTGGGGTTTCATCATTTTTCTTGGATCGTTGTGCAGATATGCATTGCCTGGTTCCTTTCTATCATCATCTTTACTTCCCTGTTGCGTGCTGAATTGAATGGTTGCAGCCATCCCCCGCATCCTGAGGCTACCCATGTGACCATGTTTTGATGATCGGTGATCCTGGTTGAATTTTAGCTGATGTCTGCAAAATTATCGCAACTATATTTTGTGCTCCTATGTTTCGAGGCATTCACAAATTAGTATGCCAAGGTGCATATATGATGCATACGAACTGAATGTGTAGTGTTAGCTTTCCTTTGATCAGGACTAGTCAAGTACTGATAGCCACTGTCAAGCCTTCATGTCTGCTTCTTTTGTCCCATAAAAGCAAATCTGGAATGCTATGTGACAACATTATAGTATTATGAATCTACACGTAATCTGTTTAGAGTTTTTTTTTTTGTTTTTTTTGAGGGAGGTAGTAGGCTGGAACCAAACGAAGCAACGAAAAGTAGACCCTGACAGCGAATGCTTTTCATTGCTGGAATCTCAGTACATGCTCGAGCACAATCACTCATGGATACAAGTGGTGTACTGGTACGGGTCCAGGCTGTTGAGCTAAGCTGGATCAGGATTCAGGACTACCGGTTTGGTTTGTTGGCTCTTGGCTTTTACTACCACCAGTGACGGAAACAGAAATTTAATCCAATCCTGTAAGATCAATTATTAGTTAGTTTGTATTTAAGTGTGATTATTTCACTATATTTTGTTAATTTATACATGAAAATCAAGGTTTGTAGGATGCTTTAAAAAAAGCCGTGGAGTCGGCCTACCCTACAAAATATGCCTAGATCCGTCACTAGCTACCACTTCCCACTTCAGGTGATAAGCATAAAATTAGTGAAATTTTTATGTCTTTTTGAACAGAGGTGGTAGCTCTAGTCTGTGTTCAACATTGTTTCAATGATTTGTCACACCTTTAAATTGACTCTTCTTATTTAGATTCTATTTCATAGATACTCTATCCGTCCCATAATATAAGGGATTTTGAGTTTTTGCTTATAGTGTTTGACCACTCATCTTATATAAAAAATTTATGCAAATATAAAAAACGAAAAGTTATGTTTAAAGTACTTTGAATAATAAAGTAAGTCAAAAAAAAATAATAATTCTAATTTTTTTTAATAAGACGAGTGTTCAAACAGTGCAAACAAAAAACTCAAAATCTCTTATATTATGGGACGAAGAGAGTATTATTTTTTATCTTTTAGGTACCGAGTCCTATCTTTTCCTCGTTACCTTTGAAATGAGTGTACCTAACAACATTACAAATGCGGAATCGAAATAAGAAAGGACAACAACTAATAAACGGTGTGACAAATCATCGAGTCCTATCTATCCATCTTTACAGCTAAACTGAATCGAACCAAAGTTGGACGAAACGTCGCTTTATGCCATTGAAGCACTATGATATGACCATGACCACTGTAGATGACCCGTCCTCCTCTTTTCCATCGTTCAACTTGTCCAATTCCCTTGTTTCAATCATACTAGCTCACTGATTTGTTATTTTTCATATGAAGAAAAAGTGAGTTGCAAAGGTAGGAATTTAATCAAATGAATTTGTTTTTAATTCTCTTTTGACCTGTCAAAAAGAAACGCCTTTGCTTCTTTTCAATTCCTCCAGAAATCTTCCATTCCAATTTGCTACCAGCTGACGCTTTGACACAGCAATTAGGCGAAATTCTTGATCTCTCTCTCTCATCCATGGCGGCCAAGCTGACCCAAGAACAGGTGGACGAGTGCCGAGAAATCTTCGACCTGTTCGACAGCGACGAGGACGGTAAGCCGCCACCAAGATTAGTTTCCCCGTCATCCAACCTGCCACTGATCGTCCTCGTCATCCGCAGGTCGCATCGCCGCCGGCGAGCTCGTGACGGCGCTGCGGTCGCTGGGCCAGAACGTCGACGAGGCCGAGGCGCGGCGGTTCCTGGCGGACGCCACCGCCAGCGGCGGCGGCGGCGGAGGCGGCGGAGACATCGACTTCGCGGCGTTCCTGTCGGTGGCGGCGCGCAAGATGAGGCGCGGGGCGACGGAGAAGGAGCTCGCGGCGTGCTTGGACGTGTTCGACGACGCGCGGAGCGGGGTGATCCCGGCGGAGCAGCTCCGGCAGGCGATGGTGTCCCACGGCGACCGGCTGACGGAGGAGGAGGCCGACGAGATGGTGCGCAAGGCGGATCCCGCCGGCGAGGGCCGCGTCGAGTACAAGGAGTTCGTCAAGGTGTTGATGAACAACAAGTAGCAGTAATACTACTAGCTGTTTTGTTTTGTTTTGTTTTTCTATGCTTAATTTGTTTGCGAAAGATATCCATGTGGTTAATCAACCTTGGTAATGGATGTGAAGAAGTATATGCGATATGATTCAAGCGAATCTTGTTTTGGGTTTGAAATGAGTCCAGAAGAGTGACAGTTTTATGAAACTTTGCGAATTTTGGTGGACTCTGTTTGAAATTTGACATAAACTAGTGATGCACTTTCAACTTATGAATCATGCGCGCGTGGCACAAAAGTGTGACTTTCCTAAAAGTACTTCTACATTACCATTGTTTAATGTTTTATATAGTTGTTCTATATTCCTTATATTTATTAAGTTTGTAATGTACTGCCTCCGTACCAAAATGTTGCAATTTTAGGCCCCTTGAATCCATGATTGAAAAAACGGGGGAATAAGAAAAACACAGGATTCTGATAGGAATACAAGTGTAAAACAGATGATTGCAAAACACAAGAATAACCATTTGATTGGACCACAGGAAAAACGCATGAATCAGATAAGAGAGATAGACTCAAGGAAAGTTTTCCAAGAGGTTAGAGTGGATGTTAACTTTCCTATGTTTTTCCTCTACAATCGTAGAAATAGGAAAGTTCCCTACGTTTTTCCTTTTCTAGTTTCTACGAATAAAATGCATGAATAGTGTAGGGTTTCAATTCCTTTGTTATCCCTCCAATTTCCCTTCAATTCAAAGGGAGCTAAAGTATGGAATTTGATCCATCCTAAGATTCATTGTCTTGACTCATTTTAGATTGTAACATTTTGCAACGGAGGAAGTATAATAATATTTGATTCATCTCTAACGGAAATAGGGCTTGTTCGGCAGAACTAGCCGCTGCAGCTGCGCTGCAATAGTGGCTACAACTACTGCAACAGCCAACCAGTAACTACATGTCTAGAGCAGGACAAGCTTATTACATTGTTGCTACAATGTCCATCTGCCGCAACACTTCAGCTATTCGGCTGTGGCTGTGTTGTACAGCCGAAAAAGTCACAAATTGGCTTACTAAACGTGCCCATAGTTTGTAATATATCTAGTCATCCATAAAGAAAATAACCTAAGTGGTTTGTGGGATTTCTGAATTATGGATGACAAAATTTGATGAAAATCACACGATATCCGGATGAAATAGTGAACCTTCTGGGTTGCAAATTGCAATTCGCAAAGTGTTCATTGTTCAAGGCAAATGAGAATTTATGTGGTTATGTTTTTTTTAGTTTTGTTCATCGTTCATATCTTGTCTCGACTGTATCTTCCATATATAAATAGTGATTGGCTATGTGTCTTGTGTGTCATTGTTACACATATGGAGATGAAGACAACATTCTTTAGAATAACAGTTCTTTGGCACGCACGCTCTCTCTCCCTCTCTCTACTTCACTGCTGGTCTATCTAGCATTAGTAAAGGGCTTGTAAGAGTTGTGGACTTGTGGTTACGTGGGAGCAAATCTAGTTCGAGATCGAGGCATGAACTTACCGATGTCTTTTCAACGGTTCCACGGACTCATCCTTCAGGTCGGATGATTACTGTGATCTTAAAAAGCCACGGTGCAATGATTCTTCATATTTTGTTCAGATCTCTGCCTATTCTTCTCTTCCACCGGCGACAAGATCGATAGGGATGTGGAAATATATTGGATGTGGTTTTAATTTGGTTTTAATATTCTTTTTAGACATAGTATGTTCTGTACTACCTCTTGTTTTACATAATACAAGTCAGATATAAAATGTTCTAGGGTGTTTTTGTCCAAAAAAAAAAGAAAATAAAGAAACAAAAACATATGGCCATATGTTATGTGACACACTGACACTGTTGAATTCGGCCCAGCCCAAAAAGGTGAGGTGATGGGAAGTGAGGAACCCCGCGCCGCGCGCACGCCACCCGCGTCCTATCCATTCCACGGTTCGTTTCCACCGCGCGCGCCACGGCGAGCTCGCCAACCCAGCCAGCCATGGCGGCGGCCGTGTCCGCGTGCAGCTCGCGGTGCCTCCGCCTGATCCTGGGGCGCCCTCCTCGAGCCCGCCTCGCGTCGGTTGTGGAGGTCGTCGAGAAGAGGAGGAGGGGCGGACTGGTGGCCGTGGCGGCGACGGAGGGGTCGGCGAAGTCGTCGGGGGAGGCGGACGAGCAGGTCCCCTCGTGGGCGCGCCCGGGCTCCGACGAGCCGCCGCCGTGGGCACGCGAGGGCGGCGGCGGCGGGGGCCAGCAGGAGCCCGGCGCCGTCGAGCTCCCCTTCTTCGCCTACCTTCTCGCCTCCGCCATCACCGCCATCGCCGCCGTACGCCTCTCCACCCCTTCAACTCCTCTCCTCCTCCTCCTCCTCTCGAATCCCAAACCCTAACCATGGCGCGCAGATCGGGTCCATCTTCGAGTACGCGAACCAGCGGCCGGTGTTCGGCGTGGTGAGCCCCGACAGCGCCCTGTACGCGCCGCTCCTAGGGTTCTTCGTCTTCACCGGGATACCCACCTCCGTACGCATCCTCTCATTGCCAATCTCCATTGCGAGGACATGAATCCAAATTTTCCATGGATTTTGATTGCTTGTTTTAAAATTTTTTTGCAGGGATTCTTGTGGTTCAAGGCCGTGCAGACGGCGAACAAGGAGGCGGAGGAGCAGGATCGCCGGGACGGCTTCTCGTGACTGATTCAGCATATGAACATACGCATTTGCAGAGTAATTAAAGTTTGTGAATTACTGCTTGTGATTCGTGGTGTTAATTAAGTTGGTGACGCTGAAGAGGGGAGACGGATCTGCGTATTGACGCAATGAGGAGATGAATTAGCAAGGAAGAAATGGCGATGTTCAATTGTACATCACCGAAGGGAGCTAGCTGTTGAAGTGAAAGTGTAAACTCTGCCTTGTAGTTGAGAAATATTGAGTGTTTCGAGCGAGTATAATTACAGCGAATTATCTGAACACTGAATTATCGCCACGGATTATTTGGTCCATATGCATCTGAGAGAAACTGTTTTCTTAGACCCGCTATTCTAATCTACTTTCTCTATTTCACAATGTAAGTCATTCTAGCATTTCCCACATTCGTATTGATGTTAATGAATCTAGACATATACATCTATCTAGATTCATTAACATCAATATGAACGTGAAAAATGCTAGAATAACTTATATTGCGAAATGAAGGAAGTATCTGTTAGTACTAAGTTTGTAATTTATACTCCCACCGTCTCAAAATAAATGCAGTTTTGCACTGCTCATGTATAACGTTCGACCGTTCGTCTTATTTAATTTTTTTTGTGATTAGTATTTTTATTGTTATTAGATAATAAAATATGAATAATACTTTATGTGTGGCTAATTCTTTTTAACTTGTTCATAAATTTTTCAAATAAGACAGACGGCCAAACATTGGCTACGGATACCCACGAATACACTTATTTTGCAACGGAGGTAGTATACAAGGCAACTGGTTCAAAAAAAAAATGTTTGTACAGGCAACACTCTATTCCAAATCCAGCCCAGGAACAAAAAGCCCAGCCTCACCTCTCCGGCCCAACTGAACGCCAGCCCACGGCCCGGCCCACCTTCCTGCCTCCGTCGCGTGATCGCGTCGAGTCGAGTCCCGGTTCGAGTCAGACGCGGGCCGCCTCCCTCCTCCCAACTTAAACCGCACCACGACTCGTCTCCTCCTCTCTCTTCTCCCCCAAGCCAAGACGACACACTCCCCCCACCTTCTTGCGCCACAAGCCGAAGCCGCCGGAATCCTCGACGAGACGCCCCGCCGCCGCCGCCGCCGCCGGCGACGCCCCCCCTCACCCCCCGCAGGCATCGGTAAGCGCCGCCCGCTTCCTCTCCCCCGTGTTAGGCTTGCAGGTCCCCCCGCGTTTCCTCTTCCGTACGTCGAGGGCGCGGCCGGGGGATCTAGGCGGCGGGCGCATTGTCGCCTCGCGCGCGGGCGGCACCGGCACGGCGTTGCGTAGATTGGGGAGCCCGAATACTTGCCGGTATCTTCGTTCCTAGTTAGTTAGCCGAGGCGCGAGGGTTCATGGCGTTGCGGGTGGGATCGAGGCGCTCCGCCGCCGCCGCCGCCGCCGCCGCCTTCTGGTTTGTGGATTGCTGCGCAGCTGTTCCGTACTCATATTGGGTGGATTGCTTGCATTGCTTCCCGCGTGTCTCGGCTCTTAGCGGCCTTGTTTTAGTTTAAATCTTACGATTCGGGGATGACAGGACTAAGGCGCAAATCGATATCTGAATTGGCAGCAAAAAAGCCCCTTCTTGTCAATTTGTAGGATTCGTCCTTGTTTTACTGCCATTAACAGTTAATCCTCGTTACAAAGTACCGGACAAAGGGATTTGTTAAAAGGTTTGGGCAGTCAGCTTCAGTTGTAAATCAATAACTCAAATCTTCACTTAGGATGTTATGTACTTATGTTATGAGGTTTAGTACACCACTTATCGTGTGATCCAGAGGCCCTTCCGTAACAATAACTTAGTGTATCTGCGGGATGAATTCATGTCACTGAATGTTCCATGGAACAACAGTAATTTAGTGTATCTGCGGGGTGAATTCATGTCACTGAATGTTCCATGGAGCTTATACTACTTATTCTGAAAAAGGTTTCTTCCACGTTTTGTTTTCAGGAGAAATATAATATAAATACAGTTAAGGGGTTGAAGCAACTTCACAATGAGTAGCATAGGGACTGGTTATGATCTTTCCGTCACCACCTTCTCCCCAGATGGCCGTGTCTTCCAGGTTGAGTATGCTGGCAAGGCCGTCGACAACAGCGGGTTCGATTTAGTTTCACCCTCCCCTCTGTTTTATTACCCTTTTTTGGGCTGTTCAACTTTATGCTGAAGTTCTGATGTTTTTTGCAGGACTGTTGTTGGCATCAAATGCAAAGATGGGATTGTCCTTGTAAGTGGTTATTACTGGATTTACTTGTGGTTAAAAGTAGTGTTACTTTGCGAGTTTGCGAGATAACCTTTTGTGGCTTCATTGTTCTGTAGGGTGTGGAGAAGCTGGTAACATCAAAGATGATTTTGAAGGGGTCGAATCGGAGACTCCACTCTGTGCACCGACACTCTGGCTTGGTAATTTGTTTTCCACCTCTTTGTTTCTTCAGATGAGCAACCAATCACAACAAATTATTTAGCTCTGAAATTTCCCAGCAGCTTCCAGCGTAATTTCATTTTTCTGGCAGTACTTTTTTTTTTCTTTTTGGTATTGTCACTTTCTTTTTGACATTGTCACTTTGTAATAATGGATATATGTGATAAAGCTTGGATTTTGTAAAGTGTTCCTTTTCTTTTCTTTTGTTCTGTTTTGTCATTGTTGTTCAAATTGTTTTGGCTTCTTACGTTCTCATTTTCAGGCTGTTGCTGGTTTAGCTGCGGATGGTAGGCAGATAGTCTCTAGGGCAAAGTCAGAGGCAGCCAGTTATGAAAAGTGAGAATTCTTGAATTTTTCCCCATAGCTACATTCTTTTAGGTGTTTTGCCTAACGCTGTACTGCACCAGGGTGTATGGAGAACCCATGCCTGTAAAGGAATTGGCTGATCGTGTAGCTAGCTATGTACATTTATGTACCCTCTACTGGTGGCTCAGGTAAGACGGTCAACATTTTTCTTCAATACAATCCCTGGTTAAGATGTTTGATGCAATTTATACTCCTCTTGTGTCAGGCCTTTTGGCTGTGGAGTTATTCTTGGAGGTTATGATAGGGATGGGCCACAACTCTACATGATCGAACCTTCGGGGCTCTCCTATGTAAATTTTTTACCCTAATACACTGTAGCACTTCTATCATACCTTTATTTGTTACAACTGAAAGACCAACTTGACCATCTTATGGTAGTGGCTGGGCTCATCCACTCATGTAATGAACATATTTGCACTTTTATGATAGATACCGTATTTCTTGCTTAGTATCATGTGCATTATTTCTTTGGGAAGCACTCTTTAATGTGGAAGAATGACTTTCTGAATCGAATTTGACAGAAATACTTCGGTGCTGCCCTGGGGAAAGGAAGACAGGCTGCAAAAACGTAAGCTATTAGGGTTTTGATACTTCCTCTGTTTCACAATGTAAATCATTCTTGCATTTCCCACATTCATATTAATGCTAATGAATCTAGATAGATATATATGTCTAGATTCATTAGCATCAATATGAATGTGGGAAATGCTAGAATGACTTACATTGTGAAACGGAGGGAGTACTATTTATTGTATGATTTCTGCATTAGTGCCCAACTTCTTTTTTGTTGCATATTACTAGGACGCAAATAGTGGTGGCTTATTCATCACTTGTTAAATTTGATGATCCATAATTATCTTTAGAACTTAGCATATTCTTTTGTATTTTTACTATATACATCAAGTTATCTCTTCACATCTTGCATATATAGTAGTCCTTAAGTAGTATTCCATCTTCAATGGTGGAAGATGTTGATCTAATCTTTGTTTCTTATATGCTTATTTTGGCATTGGCACTTCTTGCACTTCTGTCACCTTTTTGATATATTAACTAGACAATAGCCTCATTAATATATCACAGATATTCTAGAATTGGTGTTGGTTGTTGAATGACTGCCAAGGGAAAACTGACCCAAACTCTAGATTATAATTTGATGAACCATATATTAGCTTTTTCGTAGTTTTAATGCTTATCAAGGAATGGGTTGGCAATCATCAGATGTGTTTATGATGGTTCAAGAAAAGATGATTCAGCTTTTGAATATGTTGGCTGTCTATTTGTCATGACTCATGAACAATGGTTTGTAATTCTGATACATCTATTAAATGTTGTACAGGGAGATAGAGAAACTGAATCTTTCTGAGCTTACATGCAGAGAAGGCATTGTTGAGGTTGCAAAGATGTATGTCCTGAACCTTTTACTATAATCTGCAAATTCCCTCTTAGAGCTCACAAGTGAAAGTTTGTTTCATACTGTCATGGATGCCTTAAAATTTGCTATGCACTTATTTGTCGACTACCAGCAGCTAATGCAATTTTCCCCTCTAGAACAAATAAAAATCTATTGGATGATTTAAGTACAGAAGGTACTTTGTTCACATGAATAATCACTGTACCATGATCTATGAGCACCAGTTTTGGTTGCATTGCACTACAGATTGACAATAATATGTAGCTTTGAGATTTTTTTCTGAGCATAAATTGTTGTGCTATAGATTTGTCTTGTCAGTGGGACTGTTGGTACTCATGACTCATGAGTCATGCATGACTCATAATAGACCATCTACCATGTGAACAAATCAGAAAAACGTAAATAACTTCTACAAGGAAATGTTGACCAAGCTAATGAAGATCTGCATTCTTTTTCTCGCCTGTGACCTTTCTTTGTACCAATGCAGAATCTATGGAGTGCATGACGAAGCTAAAGACAAAGACTTTGAACTGGAGCTGAGCTGGGTATGCGATGAATCAAAGCGCCAGCATGAGAAGGTATATACAAGGGATAAACATGCCTTCTCCCTTGATAAATAGAACCTCCCTTATCATGTGAAATATGAACTCTGTTACCGGGCTGTCAATACAGGTTCCAGACGACCTCGTGGAGCAGGCGAAGGCAGCCGCCCAGGCAGCGCTCGAGGAGATGGACGCAGACTAGAAACCGCCGATCATGATGCTCTAGAATCATATCTCCATTACTCGATGCTAGACCGATCGATCATCTATAACCATATCACTACATTGTGTAACAGACTTGAGGCAGCTCGTCAGTTTCATTTCAACGTAGAACCACCTCAAGAAAAGAATGTTGTACTATGCAGCTCGATCGCTGTCACATATTGTTTGCTCCTGATTTATGACGAACCACACTCCTTGCTGTTTGCTCAACCTTTATACTTGATATAGATAGTTATATACTGCCCCCGTTCTCAAATAATCTGTGAGCGTTGATCATTACCGTCTCATCTTTGATAACCAATTTATATTTTAGTGGTTAAATTACGATGAATGAAAGTGAACTATAATTCTTAGATGGTTGGATCATGAGAAACGAAAATCCTATGATTATACTTAGTATTTAGGACACAGCACAGGTGACAAGTACTTTAAGAAATAGATAGCACAGGTGACAAGTACTTTAGGAAATAGATGTAGGCACGCGTGGTCGTGTTATCAATGGGATTTCAGTGAGACAAAATGTTTGTCACTCCTGTTATGTAATCAGAAAAAAATAGATGGAACACTACACGAAGTGTGAGAATACTTTTTTTTTCTTAACGAAACGGCATAAGACAATTTTATTGTGTAAAGTAGTAGTAAAAGTGTTTACAAGGAATAAAAAAATAAAAATAAATATACAAGTGTTTTAAGGGATCTAGGATAACATTTCCGGGAAGTCTTTTCGCTCCTGCTCGTGTCCAGGTTCTCTTATTCCTTAATCTTAGCGACAAATCTTGCGGGACGTTGAGGATGTCATGTGTGCTGTGTCACTGTGTGCGCTGCACGCTGGCACGGCCACCTCAGGCGCACACCGTATGCATGTTTTCGCCGTAACTCGCGCGCGTGTGGCGTGGTCCACGTCCTTTTCCCCCCAAAGACATCGGCTCTCGGCCCCTTTTGCGGCCCAACCCCGAGCCCGCATCCATCCCGTGGCTGGCTCACCTCCCACCGCTCCACGCGGGACAGACAGGCAGACACTCGTCACCGCCACCTAAGCCCAACCCTAGTCACTCTCTCACCTCTCGGCACGGTCGCACTCGCACCCGCACCCCCACCCCCACCCCGCGACGCCGACGACTCCCCTCCCCTCTTCCCCTTCCCCTTCCTCCCAGATCGCGCGCTTGTCTGTCGGGGAGAGTAGAAGCGGGGACGTTGGGGGGCGCGGAGGCGGAGGACGATGGCGCTGCTCTAGGGTTTCCACCACCTCTCCACTCGCCCCGCCGGGTGCTTCCGTCCGTTCCTCCGTTGGGGCTCCTTTGCTCAGGTAGGTAGGGTTTCCTCTCGCTCTCCCGTTGGACGTGCGTGCGTGCGTGTGGGTGATTCTCCCCCCGATTCGGGCGATTTTTTTTTCTTTTCGTTGGTCAACGGCCCGCGTGCCGTTGCGAGTGCGGCCTCGCAGAATCTCGGCCTTCGTGTGTGATTTAGGGAGGGGGGTTCCAATTCCTAGGGTTTCTTCAATAGTAATTTTTTTGGGTTTGGCGTGTTGGGTTCGAATCATGGTGGTTTAGTTTGGTGTTGGGGGGCTCCAATCCTAGGGTTTGTCCATCAGTTCATTTCGTATTTCAGTTAATTGTGTTGTCGAATCGTGCTGTAGTTTGGGTTTGTTCGAGGTTATCTGTTCCGCGGTAGGGGGGGTTACTCGCCTATAATCCCAACTTGATGTTTAAGCATCAGGCTTCATGTCAAAATAAGGCTGCTATGAGTTGGGAATGCTTGAAAAGGTAGCCTTTTTTCAACACCAAAAGGTAGCACATTACAATACCATTGATGCATGATCCTGGATGCGTGTTAGATCGGTTGCTTTACCGCGAACATTTGTGAGGTGAGTATTTCTGGTGGAGAGCTGCATCAAAATGCTGCCTGCCCGTTTCTGACACTCCGGTAGGTTTCTGAACTTCCCTGGTCTGCCTGCCCTCCTTGTTGTCTGTTGCAATGGGTGAAACGAGCAGGATGACTTTGGATGGCGGCATGCATGCATGATAGAGCAAACGACAACTAGGGGTTTATCTTCCCTCTTATGTATTGATCAATCTGGTTTTGGCATAATTGTCTCAGTACTGACCTTATAGTGGATAACGGTAAGTTGTAAATATAGTTGAAACCGCTATACGAATTCAGGCAACTTTGACGTGAAATGTGGATTCAAGTCAAGTTTGCTACTCCCTCCATTGAATTACTTGTCATCTTGGGCCAAACACACAGGCTAGGGTGATGTTCAATTGTGTTACTTGAGACTGTCTTACCCCTAATTAATATACTTTATTTCTACTGAGCTGTCCACATTACTATGCTAGTCCAGCTTGTTCAATTTCATCACAAGTAGACATGGTGCGTGGCTGAACAGGATTGTGCTAGTGGTCGTGTTACAGCCAAGCCAAGCTCTAGACGAAATATGCTAGTGGTTAGAAATAAATGAGTTCATTGGAGCAATATACCTACTACTTTTATTAGGGGTAATTTGGGAACATAATACCTACAAAACATAAAAAGCTATTCAAAAACAAAACCAATACCCTAAAACATCATCTAAATAAGGATGGAGGGGGGTACATCTCATGCTTGGCACCCAAGAAACTTGATACTCCCTCCGTTCCATATTATAAATCGCTTTGACTTTTTTCCTAATCAAACTTCTTTACATCTGACCAAGTTTATAGGAAAATGTAGCAGCATCTACAACACCAAATTAGTTTATTAAATGTAACATTGAATATATTTTGATAATATGTTTGCTTTTGTGTTGGAAATGTTGCTATATTTTTCTACAAACTTGGTCAAACTTTAAAAAAGTTTGACAAAGGAAAAAGTCAAAGCGACTTATAATATGAAATGGAAGGAGTATTTAATACTCCCTCCATCTACTTTTGATAGTCATATTTCATCTTGGCACACAGACCAAGGATAAGTAATTCTACTTATCATCTATTTAAACATGCTACTAGTCATTCCTCGTAAACAAGCGATTCATTAATATTTACATTTTTTGATACCCATGCAGCCCAATCTTGTGTGGAAGAATGGAGAGTCATGCATTAAATCCGAGAAAGTTATTAAGATGATAGGTTGTTGGATAAATTTTCAGATTTGGAAATATGACTATCAAAAGTAGATGGAGGGAGTAATTTTGTGGGAGAAATAGTTTTTTTTTTAGTCTGACTATATGATTTGGATGTACATCACTGCCAATTAATAAGATGGTACCATATGCATATGTTCTATCTGGTACCAGTGAAACTTTTTTAATGCTTGAGGAAATGTTTCATCTCAACATGGGGGAAGGTCCGATCTTTTGAGTTGCATGCACTAGCTAGTTGAACTAAAAGCTTAATCTGATGGAGTAGGGCACCAGGCAATTTACTCTTTACTTCAACACTCCCCCTCATGTCTAGATTCGAAATCAAGACCTTTGGCCTTGATACCATGCTATGAATTGCGCTTGTATTCATTACAGCCCAATGGTGCAGTATATATAAATATGGTGTATACACAATAAAACCCCTAATCCCCCAATACAAAGAGGAAAACACAAGTACTAATTATGTTAAATACAATCCAGGTGCCATAGACAATGGGGAATGACAGTCCAATTTAGCTCTTGGGTAGGTGTATGCTATTTTTGATTTATGTTGTTTGTGAAAAGAGTAAAAAAAAAACAGTTTCATATTAGATCCCTCTCTGTGCTTAATGTTTTACCAAGCCTTGCTTTCTCCAAGTTTTCTTCTATCAAGTACACACTAAGATTCTTCTTTCTTGTGCAGGATTTTTGATACATTTGAGATGGATAGGGCGTCGAATTTCATACCTGGTCCTTATCAAGAACTCGTGGATGCCAAACCAATTAGATCGTTAGCTCCTATGTTCCCTGCACCCTTGGGAATCAATGTCAACCAGTCAAGCACCCCGCCTTTGGTATGTGTCACTCCGGTTGGCCAATTTCCTGTCGGTTTTGGTTCTGGAATCCTTCCTACCTTTGGTTCAACTACTGCCTTCACTACCACAGCAAATGGGGTTTCTTATACAAGCTACACCAATAATGGAGCTATTGATGCCACTCCTATCTCGGCATATAAGACCAGACCAGGCATTGTATCACTTGATGGCGATGAACCTTACTCAGGTTCAGCATCTGGACGGAAGTCCAAGAGATCATCTGGTTCAGCTGCTGATGGTTCAAATGGAGTTAAGTTCAAGCGCCCTAAGCCAGTTTACAAGAATTTTGTTGCTGGCAAGGAGCTTGCCTTTTTACCACCTTCATCCAGTGATCCCAGGGAGGTTGTGGAAGCAGTCCACATGACCTTTGAAGCACTTAGGCGTAGACATCTGCAACTGGATGAAATACAAGAGACTAGCAAACGGGCTGACCTGAAGGCTGGCGCCATCATGATGGCAAGCAATATCAGGGCTAATGTGGGAAAAAGGGTAGGACTTGTTCCTGGAGTTGAAATAGGGGATATTTTCTATTTCCGGATGGAGCTATGTATCATCGGGTTGCATGCTCCTAGTATGGGTGGCATTGATTATATGAGTGCTAAATTTGGAAGCGATGAGGATTCTGTGGCAATATGTATTGTTGCAGCAGGTGGCTATGAGAATGTGGATGATGACACAGATACACTGGTGTACAGTGGTTCAGGTGGCAATAGTAGGAACAGTGAGGAGAGGCATGATCAAAAGCTTGAGAGAGGTAACCTTGCTCTGGAGAGGAGCCTGCATAGGAAGAACGAGATCAGGGTTGTGCGGGGCTTCAGGGATCCATTTTGCCTGACTGGAAAAATCTACATATATGATGGCCTCTATAAGATTCAGGAGTCCTGGAAGGAGAGAACAAAGTCTGGTATCAATTGCTTCAAGTACAAACTGCTGCGTGAGCCTGGACAGCCTGATGGAGCTGCATTGTGGAAGATGACTCAAGGATGGATAGACAATCCAGCAAGCAGAGGCAGGGTTATATTACCTGATCTATCATCTGCGGCTGAAGCTCTCCCAGTTTGCCTTGTCAATGAGGTAGACCATGAGAAAGGACCTGGGCATTTCACCTATGCCAGTCAAGTCAAATACTTGAGGCCCCTCAGTTCTATGAAACCCTTACAGGGTTGCGGATGCCAGAGTGTTTGCCTGCCTGGTGATCCCAACTGTGCTTGTGGACAACATAACGGAGGTGACTTACCTTACAGCTCATCAGGACTTTTGGCGTGCCGCAAGCCAATAATTTATGAATGCGGTGATGCTTGCCATTGTACTACGAATTGCCGGAACAGAGTGACCCAAAAAGGGGTCAGATTTCACTTTGAGGTCTTCCGGACTGCAAATCGAGGCTGGGGTCTTCGCTGCTGGGATCCCATTCGTGCTGGTGCATTTATCTGTGAGTATACTGGTGAGGTCATTGATGAGCTCAAAGTTAATCTGGATGACAGTGAAGATGATTACATTTTTCAGACTGTATGTCCTGGTGAGAAGACATTAAAATTCAACTTTGGTCCTGAATTGATTGGTGAGGAGAGTACATATGTATCAGCTGATGAATTTGAGCCACTGCCCATCAAGATTAGTGCAAAAAAGATGGGAAATGTCTCACGTTTCATGAACCATAGTTGTTCCCCGAATGTTTTCTGGCAGCCAGTTCAGCATGACCATGGAGATGACAGCCACCCACATATCATGTTCTTTGCACTGAAGCACATTCCTCCCATGACAGAACTGACTTTTGACTATGGTGTTGCTGGATCTGAGTCTTCAGGTTCTCGTAGAACTAAGAACTGCTTTTGTGGATCATCAAACTGCCGGGGAGTATTTTAATTGATGGATGTATCTTCATTGTGTTGGATCAACACACAAACCTATTTGCCAGGTAAATTCCTTTGACAAAATTGGTTCTCTTTATATTGCCAAACTGCACTGTTTACTTAGGTGAAATGGTGAATACTTACTACTTATGTGATGCACTACACTTTATTGTTTTATATCATATAATTGTGCATCTACGTCTCCTACAATATACACTCCTTTTGTAATGCACTTCTGGACCGCAAATGTTGTGGGATGACAAGGTTAAGTGCAGTACTTCTGTGTTTGAGAGAAGAGGGAAAGAGAAGATTGAGAAGATACGCAAAACGAGATGAGCTTTTAGTACATAATTAATTAATAAGTATTACTCCCTCCGTTTCACAATGTAAGTCATTCTAGCATTTCCTACATTCATATAGATGTTAATGAATTTATATAGATATACATGTCTAGATTCATTAACATCAATATGAATGTAGGAAATGCTAGAATGACTTACATTGTGAAACGGAGGAAGTAATTATTTTAAACTTGAAAAAATGATTAATATGATCTTTAAAGTAACTTTTCTATAAAAAGTTTTTGTAAAAAATGCATCATTTAGCAATTCAGGAAGCGTGCGTGCGAAAAACGAGTCTCTTTTCTTCTCTTTGTGCACCTCTCAGACGCAGCGGAAAGAAGGGGCAAATATGTTCGTCTCCTAGCGCAATAATGCAGTGGATAACAATGCCAGAAAGGCTTCACTTTCTGCATACAAAGTAGTGCACATATGCTATTTGAATCTACCTCGGAGCATCACATACTTTTGTCTCTTCTATTTGTGTTTTTCAGATATCAGCTTGATATATTATTTGTGTTGTTACATCTGCAGAACTTCCTGCCTGTACCCCCAGATTCGAGCTCTGGTATTATTCCCTGAGAATGACGATGGGTTTCAACATGAACTGTGAAGAGACAGTAAATTACCGTCGATTTGAACTGCATAGACAGTTAAATTATGGTTAAACTCTGTTGTGTTGATGCCGCACTTGGTAACTTGGTGGCCTCTGTACACCACCTTTTGTTCCATATTTTGTGGGGGCATGTATTTGATATTATTGCTGCAAATCGTCTGTAATCCATCTGCACCCATCCTTTGTAGGCTAGCGTCAGTTTTAACTGGAACTCTAGCAATTAGTTGTGACCTGTCAGATGCAGTCATGTACAATGTGCCGGTTTAGGATCACCTTGCATTTTCGCTCTACTTCATTTCTTCCTTGGCTGTAGCTTTGCTGTGTGCGTTGATCTATGGCTGGCTTGTTTGGATGGATGGGATCACCTTGCATTTTCGCTCTACTTCATTTCTTCCTTGGCTATAGCTTTGCTGTGTGCGTTGATCTATGGCTGGCTTGTTTGGATGGATGGATTTTAGATTCATTCTCTGGTAGAGGTAGATTATGGATTCAAATCTATTCTGGTAAAGCGATGAGTATTTACTTTGCGTCAGGAATACAGCAACTAGAATTTAAAATATGTTGGATTTTGCAGTGAAGAAACAAGGCAAATCGTTCTACGTATTACACTTTTATCCTTGATATGAAAACAAGCCTTTAAACCGCTAATAATATAAACGATATATTAAAAGTGCAACAAATTAAATTCTTACACAAACTATATATGTAAATAGTGCATTTATCCTATGGTGATATACACTATGTATACGATACCTTCATCCTAGTATGATCCGCTAAACATCAAATCGAATGCAACAAATAAAAGGTGCAAGTCCTAAAAAGAGTCAAGATGTGACGTATCTCAATGAATCTGGACATAATGATTTGTTGTATTAGGAGTACTCCCCAGTCAAATCTCGGTTGGTACGATTATACGAACAGAGAGTACGGCTTCCGGTTCAGGTGGGCATCCGAGGCTCCGAAGCCGTCTGATTCGCTAGGTCAAGAGGAGAGAAACGGACGGCCTGGATTAAAAATAAAATTCGTTCCTTTCTTTACTTAAAAAAAAAGAAAAATCATTTGGACTGAGATAGACTTGGAATGGAACCACCGCTCAGCCGACGCGACGTTGCCGCACATATACTCGTGCTCGCGCTCACGCCGCCGCCCCCGAAACTCCCCGCTCCGCCATTGCCGGGGGAGGCGATCTCCCATCTCCATCTCCCATCTCGCCTCAGCGAACTCCCCTTCACATCGCGTCTCTTCCGTCGCAGAGAGTGGCGGCCGGTGACCATTTCCGGTGGGAGGGCGGAGGTTTTGTCCCGGCTCCGGCGACACTCCACACTCCGACAGCCCACCGCTCCGTCACCCTGCATTTTTGGTCAGGTAAAAAATGGACCGGTGGCGTTGCTTATTCTTTTCTTGGGGGGTCATATTTAGTGGTTTGATCGGTGAATTGTTGGGAATAGTCCTAAGAGATTTTAGTGGATCTGTTTCTTGCACGATATGTTGTGTAATCTACTAATCTGTGCTCGTTTCAATCTACTTCACTGAAATTACCAATCTCAGTTGAGATTGGAACTGTGAGTGCATCTCATTATTTTTTTATAGAGTAAAATGCATGGAGGATCATCTAACTTGTTTAGGTGTATCATATAGGTCACTTTTCTTTCAAAATGCACATGTAGGTCACTAATGTGAGTTAAGTGAGTTATTGACACAATTAACTATAAATATGAGCATAGCCACATATGATTGAAAATTTGCTTCTGCACATAAATAACCCCATACTTAATTAATTTAATCGAATCATTTCACTTATGGCTGTTTTGACGAATAGTCTCCATAATGCAGAAAAACCCTCTATATTGTGATTTTGTTTAAGTCCTACCGTACATCATTAGCCAATCCCGGAATTAGCGCACAACGTGTTAGCAACAAGCAATCTTCATGGCTACGATACCTGTATAAATAGTACATATAGCTTCCAGGAATTGATCGATGTGAGTTGATATATATTGTGAATTCCGTGTATTGGCAAGGGGTAGTGTTAGGAGAAGGGAAATAAAACAGGGTTTTTTTTTTTGCACATATCTAGAAGCAAATTTTCAATCCTAGATGGCATGTCATGTGTAAAAAAGTGTGATCATTTGGATAGTTAAATGAGCTAATGACTCACTTAACTCATACTTCCTCCGTTTCACAATGTAAATCATTCTAGCATTTTCCACATTTATATTGATGTTAATGAATCTAGATAGATATATATGTTTAGATTCATTAACATCAATATGAATGTGAGAAATGCTAGAATGACTTACATTGTGAAACGGAGGAAGTATTAGTGACTTAATGTGCATTTTGAAAGTAGAGTGACCTACACGACACATCTGAACAAGTTATATGACCCTCCATGCATTTTACTCTTTTTTATAAGTAGGCGTCACTCCATTTCTTGATTTTAGAAATTAAGTGTTGTATCCGTTTTTTTTTATACCTTGGCGATTTTTGTAAAAGTTTTATATGGGTATAAATTTGTTAATCTCTGCTAGCCGTGGCCACTGACCTAACATTTTCATGTACACATATTTCTGTTTTATTTTTGATAGTTCAACTCGTGTTTGTGACAGGATGCACGAGAGCGACAGCGATCCTGATTCTGACAGGACACACTGGTATATGAGCAATAGCGATGACGAGTCATTTGTTGATAAAGATAAAGATTGCAGAAGGAGCACCGTAGCCCTGCTGTTGAAGAAAGGTCCATGGACATCTTGGGAGGACTCCATCTTAGAGAAGTACATCAAGAAGCATGGTGAAAGGAACTGGAAGCTTGTGCAGAAGAACACTGGCCTCTTGAGGTGTGGCAAGAGTTGCCGTCTTCGGTGGATGAACCATCTGAGGCCTAACCTAAAGAAGGGGGCTTTCAGCAAGGAAGAAGAGAATAAAATTATTAATCTTCATCGCAAAATGGGGAATAAGTGGTCTCGGATGGCTGCTGATGTAAGTTTACCTTGTAGTTCATTTTTTTTTCTTTTGCTCTCAAAATATATATCTCTTGAAACCATTTATAAAAGTGTTGTTCTTTAATAGTTTTTGCATCACAAGTATGTTTGGTGACCTTTACATGGAGGGGAGGTACGGGGATATTAATATTTGTAGTTCATCCATTGGTAAAGTTATTTAATTTAAAGTTGGGTAGTTTTTTTTTCCAGTTGCATTACAAATATGTTTTGCAACCTTTACATGGAGGTATGGGTATTATTAATATTTGTAGTTCAAATGTTGGTGAAGTTATTTTCTTCAACTAAACAAATGTTATCCATTTCATTTATTTCAATTAATATTTGGTAGTTTTTGCATTACAAGTTTATCCTAAAATATGATTATCATCACAAATCAGATCAACCCTAATCAGCAGATATAAATATTGTCAAAGTCCCATCCTTGAAATTATCTTAGAAATGTAGCCTATTTTTGCTTGTATGGCTTAGGGGTTGCTATTTAAAGTAAACTGCTAGTATCTTTTCATTGCACTTGCAATCATCGGCCTGGTTTAGTTCTACTGAAAATAAGGAGCCGTGGGACAAGCTAAAAGTTAAAGTGAAACTTGGGGTCTAGCTTTATGCATATAACTATCTTAGTTGTTGTTTTAGAACATTGTTACTGTTATATGCATTGTTCTATCTATTATCATTGTTATTAACTTGACCACATGTTCTCAGTTGCCAGGGCGTACTGATAATGAAATAAAGAACTACTGGAACACTCGAATAAAGAAATGCAAGAACAATCGTTCGCCTTTGTATCCTGCTAATGTATGCAACGATGCTTTGAATGAAGATCAACATGAGTCTGCTGACCCCAACGTTAGGGAGAAGCTGACCAATAATCATCTAGAAGATACTACTAGTATGTATTCTGCACCCCAGTTTTCAGATGCTTCCATCAGTAATATACTTGATAGGAGACTTGCATCAAAAGATTATGACTCCATAGAAGATCAAAGAAACCAAATAGAAGTTGTAGCAAAATATGAGATTCCACTTCCTGTGTTGAAAACAACGAACAATGACATATTTCCATCAGGTGAGCTATCCCCTAAACCACTCTACACATAAGCTTTTGGTATTGACTTCGTATCACTTTGTGACTAACTCTAATGATAAGACCATGCCATCTTTTGCAGCCTCTATCTTTGCCAACCATGGTATTTCAAATGGCAATCTCTCTGCTTTGTCCACAACTGATGCTTTGCAGATGGAGCTCCCTTTAATCCAATTTGATCCAAACAACCAGTTCGTTTACTCAAGGGCTTATGCGATGCACCTAACAAACTTTGCTTTATTAAATGATCAATCAGAAGAATTACTAAATGATACTGATGTATTGAACTATGTGGTGATGAAAGAAGAGCTTTCTGGAGGGAGTTTGAGTCCTACTATTAATATGCCATGTGAAGGTATGGCAGATTCTTCAGAACTCCCTTTATGCAAGGGATATCGGGAACAAGATCTTGATTTTTACACACACAATAGTCCAGTATCGTCGGAAGAGCTTCATAACTTTGAACTTTCTTTCGGTTCGTATAGTTTACTTATTTCATCTTTTACTTATATAGTAATTTAGCTGTTGATTTGTTGATATCTTTTTGAAGCACATAACTCCATGGCTGCCTCTAATGAGCTGGTAGTGCCACAATATGAAGGAGATGCTCCACCTCTTCAAGATGATTTCACATCATATTTCTATTTGAATGATACTAATCTATCCATATTCGAAGACACAAATGAATTGTTTTTGGAAAACAAGTTGGATACTAAAGGTGAACTTGTGATGGCATGTTATGTTTCATAGAACTTGCTTATGGTTGAAATCATCCTTTTTCTAAAAATATTTGTTCTTGCAATTCCAGGTAACTGACGCCAGATTGTCATGAGTTGCTGCTCTCTTGGATAAACTCATCATGAAACCAAGAATTTTATTCCATGAAGCTCGTGAACGAGCCAGTCGTTGCTATCTCTCTTATTAGGATTTCCAGTTTGGATATTGCCGTACTCCTTTACTTTTCTTCATGTCGAAATTACCATGCGTGCTATGTTGAATTTCATCTGCTATTGTGTGTGTTAAACTGTCGAATTCAAAAGATTTTGCTGCAACATGTTGCAATGTTGTGCCATTGAATGCGGAAACCGTTCTGTTTCATGTTGCGTATAATGTTGATTTGGTTGCATTTGCATATGGTTGGTGTTTCTCTGACGACTTGCCTCGTTTGACATATTGTCAGATGTTTAATTAAGTTTTAATTATTTTAAAATTGAAACATAAATTTATATTTAAAGTAACTTTTATATATAGAAAATTATCATTAAAAAATTATATCGTTTAACTGTTTGAGAAACATAATTAACTGATGAAACCTACTTCCTCCGTTCCACATTAAGTTCACCAGTAGCTCTTTCCATTTGTCTCAAAATAAGTTCATTTTTAAAGCAATCATTGCATCAGAATTTGTAAAATTAGAGAATAATTATATTACGAGTAGATAAAATGAGAAATAATTATATTGGGATTTGATAAAGGAAGATTGTTATAGACTTATAGATCTTTTTCCTTTGTATTGGTATCTATAAAATAGATGCTAAATAGATTTATTTTGAGGAGGTAGTGGCATCACTGTCTCGCCGGAGTCATCGTGGCTTTGAAAACGTCACTAGCCTTGACGTCGTCGCGGACTCGCTGAAACTCTGTGAAAGCGAATCGACCAGACGAACCAACTCCAAAACCAAAACCCGCACCCTCCCCTTGCGTAAGCGCCGCGCCACGTCATCACCCCACCCACCCCGCTCTCCTCTTTGCTTCCGCTCCCCCGCAACGCATCCCGCTTCACGCAGATTCGATTCGATTCCATTTCGATACCATTCCATGGCCGCCGCCGCCGCCGCCGCGGGTGGCCCGCGGCCGCGATGAGCCCCGACGCGGCCGGGGCGGGCCCACCGTCGTCGGAGCTCGCCCGCGTCGGCAGCCTCGGGGGGAGGCTCGTGGCCGCCGACGAGGCCCGCGCGTGCCTCGCCCGCCGCCTCCACGCCGCGCTCCAGGTGCGCCGTGCGCGCGTTGCGTGCCCGCGCCCGATTGCTTTGCTAGGGCGGCGTGTGGATTGGCGTGAGTGGGGGGCTGATCGGTCGGCCATTTGATTCGGTGTGTGTGCAGGTGAGGGAGGAGTCGCGGCGGCAGGGCGCGGCGCTGGACGAGATGCGGGCGCGGGTGGAGCTCCGGCGGGCGCGGGTGGGGGAGTTGCTGGTCGCCAGGAGGGACGCGGCCCGGGGCGTCGACCGCCGCAGGGAGCAGCTCCAGGCGCAGATCGACCGCGTGCTGCGCCTCTCCGGCGCCGTCGCCGCCGCGAGCCGGCGGCTGCAGGTAATCGACACAAATGCCGCGTGCATTGAGAATTGAGAGTACCTATGTGTGTTCCTGTTCCTGCGTTTACAGGGAGATTTTTCGATGTTGATTGCAGGATGCGAAAGAAGCGTTGTCTGGAGAGAAGGCGCGGCTTGGGGATTTGCAGAGGCTGTTAAGGATGAGGCAGCAGAGTATGATTGGCCAGGTTGCTGCATTGTACCCTGTGAAGGTATTCCATGATCTGCCGCATGGGCGAAACCTCAATTCCAATACTAATGGTGAGAATCCAATAATCTCATGTCTTGAACAATGACACTCCAAGGATATGCATGGTTCTAATACATATGTATGTTTATTCTGATGAGAAGTATGGAGCTTTAAACATTGCTAACCAGCAGAGTGATGCCTTAGGTTTATGCTCTAGGAATATATCATAGGTTGGTTTGCCATGCCCTTTTATTCAATGGCTTCTTTTCCGGTAGATTGGTAAAGACTACAAGAGACCAAGATATCTTCTGGATGTTGTATCTATTGTTATTTTCCAGGTGTGTTTATATACATGTGTGTTCACTGAATCACTCCTTGAGTTAATGTTGAATCTACCCATCTCTGTACTTATTGCTCTGCCCTCATCGTTATGGCGTGCATCGTCTATGTCTAAGTTGGCGAAGGTGTTCCACATGCTATTCTGTTTGGAGATATTGTTGTCTGCAAACAAGGAGAGTTTGGAGTGTACTGCTTAAAAATGTTTAAACATAGGCATACTACATTGCATTATTGCATACAGCATATCAGTGACATAAGAATTACACCGGTTAACCTGTCAGATAGTGCACATTTTTCTACCGAGGATTGATGAACAGTGGCAGAAAATTTCTTTCCTAATTCGTTCTGTTAAACTACAAAACACTTTCAGGAGCACATAGGTCTCTTTCGGAAGAAAATGGAACACTTCCAGAAGAGAATGGAACACATCTACTCAATGTTATCAAACTACCACAAATACATGCTTTGACATTTTTGGGTTGGCAAATTGGTAAGCAAAGAAGAAAACAAAATGATATATGTGAGAAGGATCTTCAGCGGTCCGCAGCTGTTCTGGGATATGCAGCGCATGTAAGTCTTCACAGCACTCCTGTCCTGTACTATAAAACATCAATGTCAGTTACTTGATGTAGCATTGCCCTTAAAAAGATTACTTGATAGCATGGATGCTCCAACCTAGCTATGCTCATTTTCATGCTCAAATTAGGCAATTAACACAATTAACATTGTAGATGGCCTTAAGATACATCCTTCTATTCTTTTTGAAACACAAAATTAATAAGCCAATGCATGCTTTTCAAAATTTGTGGTCATTACAGTGTTGAACATTTGTAAGGAAGGAATGATGGCAGATGTTCAAATTCATCTTCCTGCATGCACATACTGGATCACTGCTTGTTTTTTTCTCAAGGGTTATAGAGTTACCAGTTGCCAATTTTTTTATATTTTTTTGTAGGCAATTTTGCTCATAGCCTCCTATCTTCATGTTCCCCTCCGATACCCTTTGCACTTTGGAGGATCGCGATCTTATGTGAGTGATTGTTTGCCTTCAGCTGAAACAGCATCCATTGCTTCAGCAGAGCGTACATGTATCAACATGACCGACCCAAAACTGACAGTTTACCCCCTTTTCGTGGAATGTCAAGAAGATGACCCCACTAAGGCATCCTATGCAATCTACTTGTTGCACAAGGTATGTTTTCCCCCTTAATGTTTTATTCTGGCTGCTTATTTGTTGTAATGTTTGTTTAATCTATTTTCCCCATAAACTAAGATCGTTATTATGATCATTTCCTTGCTGGGTGGTTAGGATACAGAGCAGCTTTTGAACTACATTGGAGCTGAGAGCTCTGGAAGGCGCGTATTTGATAATCTGCAAGAGCTTATTAGGATCATACAATCGGATGAGTATGTATACAGTTGATCTATTCTGCGGTAACTGTATTCTTGGAGTCTTTGCGATGTAGAGATGGTGTTCATACACATGTAAAAATAGGGTTTCTTTGTGTTCTTTTATTGTGATTCTTGCCTTCTTTCGGTGTGCCGAGTTTTTGTATGCACAGGAAAGAGGTGCATTGGGTGTTTTTTTGCTAGATGAAAATGAATGAAATGATATTTACATATGTGGTATGAGCCTCTAGAAGCACACACTTTTTAAGTTTCTTCATGGTAGCACCCTTAGCTAATCAGATCTGGAGTACTCCATATTATATAAAGATTCGTCTTTCCCCAACCAAATGTGCTGTCTGGGACAAATGGATTGAATTATCCCCTTTGAGACTTTGTCCCAAGCACATTTACTCATGACTGGTTCACCACATGCCCATTATTCCAAAGAAACCAAAAAAAGCGTGTTGCAATGGGTGAAGATTATTTTAATCTTGTAATTCTTATCCGGTTTAGCTAGGGTGAAATTCACCGTGGAAATTCGCTTGGATATTTTAGTTTAGAAAATCATAAGATGTAGTTAGGAGTCTGACTTTTATCTCAAGTTAGCATGCAAGTTTTTTTAAAGAGATTTCTTATACGACTCATTTTGTATTTTCAAAAGTAAACGAACTTAAAATCTGACTTAAATACGGATATGTATTTCTAAAAGCGAACAGATTTAAAAAACCGACCTAAACACGGATGACGCACCAAAATACCGGTAAAAAAATAATAGTAGAGATTATCATGTGAAATGTGAACAATCAAAATAAACATGATCTCATTGTCCTCCCTCCTAAGAAAAGAAAAGGCACAATTTTCGGTGTTACTAAACACAGATCCCTTTCGTCTGTTAACATCATCATGAGCAGCACTGCATTGACGGAGAACCACAGAATTAATAGCCGCTAAAAAGAGAGCCTTTTCGGCACCGTCCATGATCCATCCTCACCCCCAAAAAAAAAAGGCCACAGAAAGAAAGAGAGAGAGAGAGAGAGAGCTAGAGATCAGAATTCAGAAAGAAAGCAAACGGAATCCAGATCTCACCCACCCCACCCCACCCACACGACGAGAGACCAAAACACGCGGGAAAACGCTCCCGCGCCGCGCCAAACCTGGCCTCGCGTGAACCGGCGGCGGGCCCACCGCCGGCGTGCGCACACGTGCCACCGCCACCGGCGTCCAGCCGGACCGACGACGACGAGGGCGACGACGACGTCACGGTGTTGGTACAGTGCCAGCCGACGCTGACCAGCCGGGCCCACCCACCACCTGCCCCCACCACCGTGCTGCTTGCCTGCCTCTTTCTTGTCTCGCTTTCTTGAGCTCGTCTCCTCGTGCTCTCTCTCTCTCCTTGCTGCGACCTTTGCCTTCGATCCGACGACGACGACGGCCGCCATTGCCGATTGCTTCCCGGCGCGCTGAAGGAAAGAAGCCTCAGGGACCAAGATCTCGCCGTCGGATCGCCGGCTGCCGCCTGAAGGTAAACAATCTTTCTTTCGTGCGCCATCGATCAGTCGCAGTTGTAATGTCGTAGCAGAGATGGTGATGATCAGGATGCTGCTGCTGAACTCGCTTTTTGGTTCTAGGAGATTTAAGATTATACGGATTGCATCTTTGTTCTTCAAGTTTTCGATTTCAGCTATTGCTTACCACTACTGCACTACCTGAATTGATCTCTTGTAATTCTGTAGTATATATAGCATGGAATTATTTAGCATGAGAGTTTCAGAATTATGGACGGAACATTTTCTCTCTTTGCTTCATTCATTGCTAGTAGATCCTTATTTTGGCTGAACTATTGCCTTTTTCGTTTGTTTCTTTGCTAGATTTGTGCTGTCAAGTTGATAGAGGACAAGGCCATGGGTGTCGAGGCAGATCATGGTACGCCATGTATAAGGACGATCTTGAGGTGTTCAATCAGGATGAGCTACAGATATGCTTCTGAAAACTGGGTTCTCCTCTTCCCGGTCCTGCTGCTCTACCTGCTATTCAGATCTTCGCCGGGTTTCTTCGCTTTCCTTCTGTCCCACTCTCCTGTAATCATATGTGCCGCTCTTATCCTTGGTGTGCTGATAAGCCATGGCAGCACAAACGTTGCTGAGATCAAGGAAGAACGGAAATCTGTCGCCGAGGTTTCGGATCCCAAGTATGCAGATTTGTCCAGGAATATCCATTTGGAAGCAAACAAGGGATTTTCGGCAAAAGAGAACACGGCGAGCTTAAATGACGGTGAAATCAAAGATGGCTTGAATTCTTCCAGAGAAGATGCTATCGAAGTTGTTGAGATGGTGGGCAAGATAAGTCATGATAGAGGATCAACAGATTCACAGAGTGATGAGATGAAAGTAGATTCAGAAGATAAACCGGCTGGTACCTGTAAATGGGGCCGTGCCTTTTCTGTTCGTCGCAGGAAGAAGCTTTCTGATATTAAGGTAGAGCCTATCAATGCTGCTGTGGACAGTCCATTAGACTCATCTTTGGATTCACCATTTGGTAGAGTTGGCTGCCATGATGGTTCACCAGGTTTTGATCATGATCAGACAGAGGGTACCACTCCTGGTACTCCTAGAACACGCATTGCTTCTGTCCTGGACGAGATTGACCCTCTTTCCAGTGCTGATTCCCCCCATCCTGATCCCATCCAAAATGATGACTCGGACAACCACATGTCCCTTCAGGATTCTAGAACTGTGAGAGATAATAATTATGAATCTGACAAGAGCAAGGCCAACAAAAACGATGACAAGAATGTCAGCACTGATCCTGCATTTCTTGGAACCGTAGATGATGATAAGAATGTCATGGATCTTGGGTACTCTGAGGTGGAAAGGCATCGTAGGTTAGAGATCTTGATGGTTAAGAGAAGATCAAGGAAGAACATAGTATTTGATCCTGACAGTAACTTAGACATCGATAATGATAAGGTTTGCAAGAGAAACCCATCTGATATTCTTTCTTGTTCTGATGAGACAGAATTTCCTGGCTCAGCTCCATCCGTTCTGCATACATGGAGGAATCCGTTTGATCATCCTTTTGAGCAATCAGATGAAAGTGATCTACATGAACATGTCGCAATACCCCACCAGGACATGTTCTTCACAAGGCATGAAAGCTTCAGCATTGGCAGCCAGGGGAGACGTCCCTCAAGATTTAAGCCACCTTTTATCATCGAAGCAATGGACATTGATGAGCCAAGTGCAAGTGATTTCCAGAGACAATTCAGTGACAAAAGTGCGTCTACATTGAGTACAGTTACTGAATCTGATATCATTTCTTCAGTTGCTGATCAAGAGGACATAAGTAACAACATAAAAAATGACTCTAGTAGAGAGTATGAATCACCAGAGCTACCTACAATACCTACAATGGGAAGTGATATTATATGTGTTGGAGGCACATGATCAGATGGGATAAATTTCTTGAACAATGGAACTCTGAATGCTATCACTAATGGGGCCACAACAGAATCATGTACCTCTATGCCCATTTTGACGAATCCGTGATACCTCCCCGAAGCATTCGAAAATCTCTCTGATGCCATTGCCAAGAATGTTGATGTTTTAGCGAAGATGAACTGCACTAAAGTGTGCATAGCAGACGTACTGAAGCCTTTGTCAGTTTGGGACAGCGAAGAGTTTGTCATGAAAGAACAGAGGAGCCTCATCCGAGCTTGTATAGCCTTTTGCTTGTGATGTAAACGTTTTCTTTATTCTTGTTTTCATGTGATGAAAGATTTGCATTCTTCAGATCAATTTGCATAGTTCAGAACACAAGGTTTTGCTATGCATTGTTGTTGTGTATGTAACTGGATGATATATTACACTATTACTGCACATATCATTCTTTTGAACATAAATCTTCAGTGTAAGTAAGTATGAAAGGCATATTCCATTTCCATCCAAGAGGTTAGAATATTGAACAGTTGTGACAAATGTGAATTCCAGCACTTGATTTCTCCTTGTTTGTACTCTCTCCATTCCCAAATATAAGTATTCCTGACTATACACCTGCACATATCTGCCGTATTGTTTCAGGTGCATAGCCAGAAACGCTTATATTTAGGAACGGAGGGAGTATATCGTTCTTCCAACTCTGTCGCAATCTAGAACTCTGAAGTCAGTCCTGGAACTGTGACCAGCTACAATAAGAGAAAGTTGGGACTTGAGAATCAATTGTCCTGTGCCAAGATTCTTCTCCTCAGCTGGAAGCATAGCATGGTATCAACAAAGACACTAGCCTTCCATGTGAGCTGCTACAGTATACTGTACTCTGTACACTACACTACACTTGCTTCAATGGCATCAAATCTTCCCCTCTTTGGGTCACACAATTCAAGGAGAAACAGAACAAAGTCCCCCACAATCATGCTTGCAGAGTTGCAGATATGGTTGCATTTTGTAGCTTGTGAAATGTGCTAAGTCCAAAAGAATTCTTCTGAATGATCAGATTCTTCTGAACTTTCTTTGATCAGAAGCTCGCCGTCCATAAAATGTGTGTCTTCTCACGTCTTATCAGGTCGTTGATGCCACATCTTCCCAAAGACATCCTTGATTTCTCTACAAGCAACTTGGTACAAAAGTGACCTAACTGACTGAATGATCATGAAACAAAATGGAGAAAAATAATTGCTATGATAATACGCTGATCACTGTTTGAGATTGATCATCTCCTGGTCCAATCGCTACCACAAATCTGACTTCACAAGAGCCCATAAGGTATGTGATGTTCAGTCGAAATCATTGAGTTATACGCATCAACCAATTTATTAGAGCTTAAGTATACACTTTAATTGGACACATGAGGGTACCTGCTACTGACATTGGCTTCTCCTCTCAAAAAGGGAAGAAATATTGGATTTCCACAAATATGTTGTCAAAATCCCTTTAATCTTTTTTTGAGATAAAAATCCTTTTAATTAGGATGATAAGAGTTATGTGGTTGTTCAACAATTTATGCCGGCAAACTTTGAATATTAATATGCTTAAAAGCTACATGGTTGGTTGTATGAAAATTATTTCATTAGATTTGTCGCTGAAACTTTCATTACATTTTAGTTTTACTGAAATATCTTGATGTAATCATAAGATGGAAATGCCGAATTTGCATATCAGAGAATATGGAAAACATAAAAAGTGACAGATAAAAAGAATAAGAATAATTCTCCATTATCTCATTAGAGAACGTGCTTGTAGTGATGGTAAGTCCATGAGGCTATCAACCAGGGCTTAAGCCTTGGATGAAAAAACAATAATAATAATTTGTTGTGTGTTTTGCCTAAAATACAGGTTAAGACATAGCCTATGATAACGGTGTGTTCCCCTGTAGGTAAGAGAATGCTTTACTATCTTCTCGACCTCAAATGCAATGTCTTCAGGATAGTTCTTCCATAGAATAGAACCAAGTTTTTTTTTCCTATTATTATCTCATTGAAGAAAATTGTGGCCAATTTGCACCTAATTCTCTACGTACTAGTATCCGATAAGAACAAAGTTTTGTTTTTTTTTCCTTCCATCAACCACATGCCATGTGAGTGATCAGTCATCAGGATGTCCAGATGTGTGCTTGTGTTAGGACAGGGTCGACGTCAAGGCTTGTCCATACCTACGAAGAAACGAACGAAACTGAACACGAATGGATGATTGGATCCATCATGTATGCGTGATTAGTTATACATTTTATGAATTCATATGAATGTTGATGGTCCTCATAATCTCGCCTTTATAATTAGTAAAAGGTCGTTTGAATATGTGAGCTCTCCAGGGATTGGAGAGGATTTATGTATCCCTTGATCTACTAGTTCAATTTTCTTTATTGCAAGTGAAAGAGAATACATTTTATATTTTAAGAATAGAACCATGAAAACCGTCATATTCTACTGTTTTTTCAAAGTTTTTTGGGAAACCAAAAGGCATCAAATTATCTGTATAATTGCCAGTTAAGTAGGGATCGCTGTGCCAGGAATTAGATAAGACTGGGTCAGTCAAGGCTCAATGTCAGTATTCAGGAACTGACACAAAACACATAAACCATCACATCTCTGAGATGTCTCTGGCCAAAATGTACAAATTGCTTAAGGACATTGCTAACGAGAATCTTAAGCAAAAAACACACATGCTGCCACCTTGGTCCAAGAAACATACCCACTGGGTAGAGCAGAGAGGATGATGATAGCACGTGGCAGCAGTCTGCTCATGTCTCTCTCTAATGACTAATCGGTGTGTCATGTGAATCATGGTGTCCTTGTATATAATGCCTACTTTACCAACAATCTCAAATACTTTCTGCGTCAGGGACGGAGCTAAAACAAAATAAAGAAAGGTACCACTCACTTACTTTACTATACTTTAGATAGATTTAGGCTGATACGAATGTTTGAGTTTGGATTGAGAGGTACATATATGACAAAAATATATGAACTATAGCTTAAAAAAAAATTCTTGACCGGATTTCTGGGCACCCCTTCTCCTATGTAGCTCCGCCCTTGCTCTTCGTCCACTATATTTAGATTCATACTTGATTTTTTTAGATAAAAAGAGTAGGTAATGCCATGCAGTTAAATCTTAAAATCTTGTCATTAATAGAAAAATAATATTATGATCAAATACGTGAAAAATAATATTAGAAGATTTATCATGAAGAACACTTTCATTTAGCTATAGTTTTTACAAATATATTGTTATAAAAGAAAATAAAGAGGCATATATATTAGAGACTCTATTAAATTATCCAAAACATCGAGTCCCAAACATCCCATTTGATTAATAAATTTTTATATGTTCTGTTACTTTCATGTGTAATACGTTCCTTCATCTTATCTTTCACATTTAAGACATGCAAACAATTCTTTATTAAGGCTAGGAAACCAAATATTCAGTATGGGCACTCAAATTCGAACATAGTGGATGAGACATATACTCACAACTCCACCAAATATCCAGAAATCATCTCCTCGTTTTACCTCTAAAACCCAATAACTTAAACAATCCATGCGAGTATATAAGTTGTACTACTCTAAAAAAATAAACCCTAGCTACGAATCTGAACATAAATATGTCTAGGTTGGTAAGTAGGATTGTTTTTTTTTCTTTTTTACATAGGGGGTACGATATTTCACATTCAAAGCTCATGGTAAAAGACAGCTGTTCTTTTTAACTTGCAATATCAGGCAAATGACTTACATCAATGACACAGCAAATGCACACAACAACCATCCCCATGGTGGGCCCTCACTGTCAGCCACAAATGCTCACAAATATCTACCCCAACCACAGGGCCCACACCCCAGAACAAAGCCTGCACACATCATGTACCACTCCTGACACAGGCCCTACTGTGGTATGGTAGCCATCCCCATGTAAAAATATCAATATGATCCCTCATGTCTGATCACCAGACTTTCACAGCAACAGTGAAATCTTCAGTCATCCATCCAGGACCCAGAAAGCCCCATCTTTGCTACTCATCTCTCTGCATGGCAAGAATTGAAACCTGCATAATTGCACTGCATATTTGCAGGCACCAAACCTGGAAACATGCACAAGATGAGCTCAGCTCAGTGACACAAGTCACATGGTGACACAAACAAGAGGTGTGAAGTACCAACAGTAAGTAGAATATACTCTCTCCGTTCAAAAAAAAAAAAAAAGCAAATCCTAGATTTCCGTATCCAATTTTGACTGTACTTCTTATATGAAATTTTTTATAATTCGTATTTTTATTGTTGTTAGATGATAAAACATAATTAATACTTTGTGCGTGACTTGTCTTTTTAATTTTTTTCATAATTTTTTTAAATAAGACGGACGGTCAAACGTTGGGCACGGAAATCAGGGTTTGTCTTTTTTTGGGACGGAGGGAGTACTTTTTTCGAAAGAATATAGCAACTTGTACCATTTAAAATTTATCACATAATATAACAACTTCTATACTTATCAACTTATCTCGACTATTTATAATACCTTTTAATTTAATTTTACATTCTGGGATGAAGAAAGTTTACATTCTGGGATGAAGAAAGTACCCACATGAAATCTGAAATCCGAATCTCTTCCTCAGAATTCTGAATATAACAGTACTGCCTGTTTCACGCAGCTCACAAAACTGTGCCGACATTGACACGCCCCCACAAAGCTTCCCAAATTTGTAAGGTGAGTGACGCCAAGGCAATGCATTTTTTGTTACTCACTCATGCGTGTCTTGATCATTAAGATTAGATTAGCCTAACTGTAGATTACTGCTACTGCTTAACACACACATACTAGCTGTGATGCATTAGCTAGGTTTGGTCCTACTAATCAGCAGCAGGAACAGTGATCAGTTGTCGGCACACTAGAGGTTCAGAGAAAAGTCTGCGTCAGGTGGCCGTTTCTTGGCAGATTCTGATGAGCATTTGCAGGGCGAAAACGAAAAAACTGTGGGCTCTCTGCTCTGAAATTTCCTCAATTCTGCAACAGGTTTTGCAGTTTGATGGTTAAGTAGAAGTAGTTAGTAGTACAAGTAGGTTGTGATTTTTGAGAAGGCATGAGAGTGTAGGTGAGACATGTGTTTTGTCACGGTTTTAACTGAAGATTGCAGGTGAAAGTTAAGACGATCCTGTCGCAAGCAGGTCGTACCGTCTTATGCCGTCATGTCCATTTCAATCCTGAGGACTACAGTGTAATGCACCACTTGGGTTAGATTTTTTTAAAAATAAAACAAAATCAAGTAGACCACCACAAGATTCACATTCTGATATGGTTAAGTACAGGTGAGGATCTACTAATATAATATCTATATAACGAAAAATCATTATAATAGATGTAATGATAATACCATTACGATAGAGAACGTGAACCGGTTAAGGACTCCTATCTAACTTGAAAAAGAAAAACGTTGATATCCTATCCAATCCATCGGTGTATGGTGGTGCCTACCGACAACACATCTATCTATCTATATATATATATA